CATTTTTGAAAATATAGCGAGCACATTATCATTGTTACTGCTAGATGGATCCCTTCTGACAGCTTTTCAATGAATTAACTTTTTCCTTGTTTTGGTTAAGGAAAGTAACTTTTGCAATGCTCTGTAACCTGTAGAAATTTCATGTGTCAAAATCACAGCACAGCATTCAAGAAAAATCTTTGATGTTTACTGGAAAACCACTTGGTAACAAAACGAACAGAACTGTGATTATTGTCAAATTTGATTTATTTTAGATAATGAAAAAAAAAAATCAAAATTAGAAAGGGATGAAGTGACTCAAATGAAATCAGAGGCCTCTCTCATCTTCTCCAAATCCAAGTTGTACCATATTGTACGTAGTTGATGAATGCGATTTTATTGCTGATGACTCTTTCACATGCTTCTGCAGTGCCTATTCTTTTGTTAGATTTGGCATTGAAGTACCAAAATGTTATGGAAAAAGGCTGCTCTTGCATTATTTCTGGCATGCTTACAACTTGGGAGTATCTAAAATATCATCAGAAAACTTGTTCTTATGAGATTCCTGTCTAAATTTCCAGACTAATAAATCTGGAACATTATCCAAAGAAATGTAGATACTTTGACGCTCATAGAGTTACAGCAGAATTTGTGGTTGATGTTTTGGATTATTTTTGTTGCTGCTGGCTTTTGTTGTTTGCTTGGATTTTTTTCAGTGTTTCCCTTGTATTTTTTGTTTTGTTTTTACATAATCTTAGTTATTTCTTACTCTTTCTCTCTTGTCTTCTCAGCAAAACAAGTTTGTAAGAACTTCCTATGTCCTTTTGTCCCTTTCCCTTGTTTTTATTGAATTTATCATTCAGTGTCCTTATAAAATAGGTGTTATTTTTGATGAGCATTAGTTTGTTAATTTAAAGTGGAGTCTGACAGTGTATCAGTCCACATGCAGAATGAACTCTGAACTGAATCACTGCTGAAGGTTAACCCAAGTGAGAGAGTGAATATCATTTGGGAAAAATTTGTGGTTTTTTTTTTCCTGTGTTTAGTTCAGGTAGATTTAATAAAGAATATGCGTGTTATTAGTATATCAAATTCTCTTTACTAACAAGTCTTTGCTATTGAAATGTTTCATAATTTTAAACATGGTTGACCACTTTGTTCAAACATTACTACAGAAAAACAATTCATGCAAGGATCTGTCTATTAGAGTAGCATGAGCAGAGAGCTACTTTGCTAGTATAGGTGATGCAGCTGTCAGTGTTGTTACTGTGTCAGTATTCATCAGTAATTAATTCCATTGCTTTAACAAGAGCACTTGAAGACCATGTTATCATTCTAGCAGAACCCTGCCAAGCAGCTGGTGCTGTTTCTTGTTTTTTGTTTTGTTTCCTTTTGTTTTTTTCTCAGGGAAGTAGGATTGAGCTCACTGGAACTGTTTCTCATCTCTCAGATAAATATCAGTAAACTTAATCATTCAAAGAGAAACACATTTGACACTCATTACCTATGTGGATGAACATGAGGGCTGCTCCATAACTAATGCATCCTATTTCATTCTCTTGGCCTGTGACATCAGAGGTGGACATTGCTGGAATGCTAGCCCAGGTTGAACCTTTGTGCTGATATCCCATTATATGTTGTTGCCATGAGACAGATGGCAGCAGAGGGGCAGTCTGATAGAATGGCTTCTGGCCTGGTAGTGTGTATGAGGCAAAATTCTAAAACTGAATTCCTCTGTGGAAAAAATGGCACACATTGACATTCAGTGGTGCTTGCTGAACATTTCTAGAGACCAAACAGTGGATGCGAGCACAGTGTAGCTGTGGGTGGTGTGTTTCAGCAGTACTCACAGTGCTGTGGAAGGCAAGCCATGTTCTACGTGACCATGCACAGCTGCCACACCGTGAAGTGAAGAGCATCATGCATGCGAACTGGCTAATGGTGGTAACTGTAGAAAAAGTCTTTTGTAGCTGAGAATTTGTTCTATCAAATATTGTTCTTGTGCTATTTGTATCACAGGTTTCTTGAAAATAAATAGGAGGCATTACTACTATAGTGCAATCTATATCTTATGCCACAGTCACTGCTATTAATGGTTCACTAATATGGTTCAGATTTTATTGACATTTGTATATGTAGCCTCCTAGAATAAAATTTATTACATATGCTTAGATAACTGATCAGCAGACTAGAGAATGTAACAGAGTTATATTTGAGATTCTATCCTCATTTTGTTATGTGTACTTTCCTGAGAAAAATTTACTTCTGTAGCACTTATATCCTCTTGCAGAAGCTCCTAGGAAATATTTACATATAGGAATAACGTTCCCAAAAGTCTTCTGTGAGGTAAAAGACTTACGGAAGCATATTCACTGAGAATAAGGAAGAGAAAAACCAGCTCTTGGTACTTTGCTAGTGGTTTTTGCACTGTGTAGACCTCTACTACCATCTAACAGTTGTCTTCTATTTCTCGAATGTTAATGAGTTCTACTTCAAAATTGTGCTTATGGAGAGACCTGCTTCCTTTTGGAAGAACATTAAGTATACTGGAAGCATCTGATCTTCCACCCTCACCTCTTCTCCAATCCTGATGATCTTGTTAAGTTTTTAAAAGCTTGGCTCCGTAACAAATTGCTCATAAGACCAATTAATGCTGTGTGGAAACAGATGTTTTTGATTTGTTAGCAGTCATGTTGTTTTCAAGCTTCAGAATATCGCAGGGCTATTATTTTTTGTAATGCGCCTCTTGATCTTTTCATTTGTTTTAGAACACTTAATTATGTTGCACAGATATAATTGGACTGGAGCAGTTACACTTTAAATGGAGGATTTCTGATTGTGAATCAGTTCTAGACCAGTGAGCTTTAGTATCCTTCTTTTTGCTTCTGTCTGTATCCCGTGCACAGTGCTTGCTGAAATGAAAAAAGATGTTTGTATCACTTCAAGGAACTAAATTTCTTTTTGCATTGCTTTGCCTAAATAATAATAATAAAAATTCTCCTTGGTTGTCTAGGAACTTACTGATTGTTCTGAAACTCACATATCATTATCTAGTTATACATTTAGTTAATAACAATAGCATATAATTATCCAGACTTTTTCAAAAGTCAGTGACTAAAAGCAACTTGAAGGAAAGATCATCTGTGTTTATGCAAGCTATATTCTGGGCTATAAAAAGTAACATTATTTTTGTAATTATCAGCCATTAATTGTGTTGGCTTCTTTTTGTTCCTAGAATAAACACAGAAAGAAAGGCATGTTTGTGTTTTGTTTGAAACCTTAATCAACAACAGCTCCCTAACATTCTCTTTTACTTTTCTGAAATTTGCTTGCTCACAAATGGCATATGTCATCAAATTACATGCATTTTTGCCATCTATGCAGTTGATTAAGCTCTGGAGCTTCTGTCCTTCAAGAATGCTAACAAAACTTCACAGTGACCATCTGGGCATCTGGCCTTGTTCAGAACAGGATCATTTCTCATGTAGCATTCTGTATTTTAATAATCTCTGGCAACTTCAACATGGTAGTTACACTTCAAAGACTGTTTTCTCTCATTATGACCTAAGGGCCAGTGGAGCATGGAGAAGTGTAGAAGAAATACATTCACAGTTTCTGTCATGAGAAAACTCTGTAAGAGTCAGGGTCACACTTGGGCTTCTCCTGGGTCAAGAGAGTCACAGAAGCTTTTAAGTGTTTCTCTTAAAGGAACTAACAGTGAGTAAATGACAGTGAGTTGTCACTGCCTAGTCAAGCTGTGAGGAGAGCAGTAGTACTGGTAGAATGACAAATATGCAAAGACTCACATTTGTGGATGTCTCATCAAGTCTGTCTCTTGTTCAAATCAAAAGACTTGAATCAAAATTAACTGCCAGATTTACTTACCAAAATTAATTGAATTAACTTACAAAGTATGATAGGGTTTACAAATAGATTTTCACAGTTAAGACATTTTGAACAGTTGCTTGGGGAATAATATATTAGTGTTAACATGTAGCTTTAGAAATCTTAGGTTTTTACAACTTAAACAGCCCTGCTTTGTTACTTGCATAGTTTAGTGGAAACAAGAAATAATGTGTAAATAGTATTCAAAGTTATTGAAGGATTGCATTCCTTACAATGAATGCAACAAGTTCTGCCAAAGAACATCTCAAGAATGATATTCTCAAATGTATAACTCAGATAATAGATTTCTGCAGTAATTCTTTAGTTTTCCCCATAAGTTGTGATAGCTGCAGCTAGGATGAAGAATGCTAACAAACATTAGGATGTAGCAGCAAGTGTGTCATAACCACTTGTGCCAAGAAAATAATCTGATCTGATCCCATAGTGATCAGCTCCACCTATGTCACAGTCCTGTTGGAGAAAAATGATATTGCTTAGAGAAATGTACTGGTGACATTTTATGGTAGTAAATATTGGAAAAATATTGCTTCTCAATGAGATTTAAATACAAATCAGGTTTGTTTCATTTTTTTTCTCTATGCCTAGAAGAAGTTATCATAAAAGAAGTTTAATATTATACTGGTAAGATGTGAAATGCAAATGAAAGGGAATAACTTAGAGAATAGACTTTTCAAATCTGAAGTTTGTTTTTTGTTCCCAAAAAGTACATGAGAATCACACTGAATAGCTTTCAAAGCTGACTACTTCAATGTATTAAGATATAAACAGTAATTTAAAACCACAGTTTGATTTTTTTTTAATAGACTAGATATCTATGAGATACAACTTAGTATCTTTCAAAGATAAGACATTATATAGTTAAAATACAATTATATGAAGGGTCCATGAGCATGCAGCATGGTAATGAGTGATGTTTACAATACAATTCACACAGTTTTGGCTGTTGGAAGCTGTATTGTTAGGCTTCTGGCTGGGACTCAGGATATCCCTTGCTACTTTCAAATAATCTCTTGAGTCCTTAATTTCCAGATGAACAGTCACCAAAAGTCCATGGAAGAGTCCTTGAGCAAAACTAAGACAGCACTGAATGCCTTTTTTTTTTTTTTTTTTTTTTCTCCAAACTAGAACTGTTAAAGCCCTATGGTGAAAATAACTTGTTGGAGAGGATTTTCAAATTGTTTAAGGGGCTGCCTGGATTTCCAGCATGATCTTATTTGAGCAGTGTATGCCACTTGTCTTTGGATATATTTTTCATCAATGAATCTTACAAGATCTAAGTTATGTTAGGAAATAGAGCATGGTGCTGCTGCATTACTTCTATAAAATTGTATCTTCAGAGCTGCCATTTTATGACTGCTTGGCAAATCCCAGCAGAGCCATTTGCAATCAGAGAGGCAAGCTGCTAATGATGCTTCAGTAAAACTAATATGTGATGCAAATGGATACCTTCCTTCACCCCTTTCACTGCTTCAAGAACACTTGAATTTGGTCACTTAAACTCTGGGAGGAGCTGTTTGCTGCAAAAATGACTCCATATTTCTGTTTGTCTGTGCTTTTGGTATACAATATTTAAAGTCTATACAAACAAGACAAATTAAACAGCCTGCTGTACTCATCTGCCTTAGTGATTGTGTTGATAGATTACAGTTGCTGGAAGTCTGCACAACTTCTTTTTCCAGTGTTCTTTCAGCTGTCTTCTGATTTTGTACAGCCATACTGCAATATTTCACCTTTTTGTTGGGATCTCACCCAAAATTTTCATAATGCTTTTCTGGCCCTTGGTGAAGTTTTTCTGAAACATTCGCTTAACTGATTTGCCCTTTTTTTGCACTCTATGGAGGTGATTCAGCCTTTAACCTGCCCACCCATCCACCTCTCCTCTTTTCACACAACCTTTGCTTTTGAGTTTGTTTTTCATTTTGCTCTTGGCATGTGATTACATAACGACTTTAGTGGAATAACTTGGAAACTCAAAACATGAATATGCTATTTTTTATGCTTCTTAAAATTCCCATTGTATTTTTTTGTATGTTTTTTATCTCCTGCTCCTTCAGCTAAGCCATTTATAGGAAAGTTATTAATAGGGCAGGGATTTGTAAGGATTTCACATATTTGAGGTGGGATGGGATTGCCCAGTACGTGGGCACCTACTGGTGCCTGCTAAGTGCACCTCAATGGCAGCTGCCTCCATGCAGGATGCTTGAGAGACATTGAGGCCAGCTTTGGTGTATATCTCTTATCCCTTCAGGGCAGGCAAGTGAACTTAGGCTTGATATCTCTCCGTATGGAAATGTGTGATGAATTCTGATTGGAAGATGCAGTATGTATGTAGTTACGTCTGTGTGTTTGCAGATTGCAACTTGAGATAAGTACAGTTAATACTATAGAGCAATTATGCTACCAGCAATTTGTAGAAAAGTCAGAATGAGAGCCAGTGGTTTGATCTGTAACAATTCTGCACTCTCTGCAGTATTTGTATGTGATGTTCACTTTTTCTTTTTGCAGAAGATTAGTTAAAAGGCATGAATGTTATGAGTAGCTAGGCAGGTCCATTTCCACTGCACCAGCATGTGTTGTGAATGTCCTCAAGGTATGGTTTGGGTAGTAATATTGTTAATGGTGTTGCTATATAAAAAAGTTATCATTAGCTTCTGACGTTAATACCCTTTCAAGTTCTATTATTTTAAGCACAGAGATTTGAGAAATCCTTACAGTACTGGGACAAAATAATAAATTTCCCCAACCAAAGGACTGTAAAGTGTTTGAGAACTGCTGACTGGGGGACTGCTTCAAAATCTGAAGAAAGTTTTAGATTTTACATCTGTAGCTTTTTAAATTGACACTCAGTGAAGATAATAATCAGATGGATATTTAGCTCTTAAATATAATATTTTAATGTAAGTTAAATTCTTTCATACCCTTTAGTATTTTTCAAATTTTTAGTCAAGAAATATGTTCTATTTAAAGTAGTGATAATTTTCTTACAGTACTTTTCCTTTCCTAACGTTTTGTTTTCTGACAAAAGTTTAAGAGGTCAGACTGCTTTTAATTAATGGTTAATGCTGGCATTACAGGTATATCATTTATAATAGCAACAATGAAAAAGCAGCCCTGCATTTGGCTGCTGTTACTAGATGTTAAGCTGAAAAATCAAGAAGTATTTTAAAAAACAATTTATTTCAAGCGCATTTATTTTGTCTGGGGTGCTGTAGAAGTTCACTGGGAATTCTTGTCAGTCACAGTGGCTTGATTGACCATTGATTCCTGCATTATTATGTATCTAAGCATAGGTGGTTTTTAATTCCTGCTGAGACTCTTTGGGAGAAATGGAGGATTTATGACAATCGATGTGACTGATGGCCAGACAGTTGAAATGAGCTTTAAATTAAAATCAGCTTTCTTCATGCCAGTATGTTGCAGGAGACTGTTACTTCATGGAATGCAGCACTAGTGTTTCATACACTTCACTATGACGTAGTTACATCTGAATGTCATTTGTTAATTACAGTGTGAATTTTTCATGTTATTGGGGGTCAAGCTATGATTAAGAAGGGTGCAAATATTTGTTATACAAGGTTGTTAAATGCAATTCATTCTATAAGGTGAGATCTTAGAATGGGTTGCAAGAGATGAGATAGAGATAGAGCTGGCTACAGAAGGTCACATTAGGTAACGATTATACATTTACTTAGCTGTGTTGGAAGCCTGCTTGGTGATTTGTAGATGCAGAGAGAATATTGATGTAGATTGTCTCACCGAAGTGACTTAATGTGGGGAATTCCTCCTGGGAAATCTTCCTTCAAACTCAGCATATGAAGTGTACTAACAGGGGTAATCATGTCCAAACCGTAGCCTGAGAACAGATTTTGAGTAGGCTGATTCTAAACACTACATTTCTCACTGGTATTCTCTCCTGCAGAGAAGAAAAATTAGATCTGTATTAGCTGCTTAAAGACTCTGAACTCTATGATTCAGTAGGAGAATTAAAAATACTGATTATCATCATCCCTTTGTGTTCCCTTGGTACTTCTCTGTGAGCTTAAAGGAATATCCAAAGACATCATTTGAAGGTTTGTTGTTGTCGTTTTTTTTTGTTTCTTGTTTTTAGAACTGAACCCATCTTCTTTGTATTGTAATCATTCTACGTTTAGTAGTAGTATATACTTTCAGTAGCTGATTTGGCTCTCAGTTCTGAATTAGTTCAAATTTCCCATAAGATTTGTAGTTTGATTTTCAACAGATGTTTTAAGGTCATCTTCTATGTAATGATTGGTACTCAACAGTGCGGGGTTCAGAGTTCAGCTCTCTGGGTGATAGCCACTTCAGACTTGAAGTTCTCTATTCCTTAAAAATGCTTATCAAAGGTTTTCCATTCTCCATGGCTTCCATAAGTGGTACGAGACAGATCAGTAATGACTTCAAAGCTAGAAATTGTATGCTAACAACAGTGTGGGAATGAATATACTTTAGTCTGGAGGATGAGAATGATGCTTACTGATATCTCAGTGTCTTACTGAATTCGTATCTAGGAGATGATGACTTTTGGAATATGACAGATCAGATGCAGCTAAGCTTGTCAGTGTTGCTCTTGATCAAAGTCTGTGTTTAATCCATCTTATACTTGTTTTAGACAAAGCAAGAAGAACTTTGTTTCCTGTAAAACATTTATATGCTATCCAGAATAATTAACGCCTTCATAAAAAAAAAAAAAAAAAGGTTCTATGAAATGTGAGAGACTGTCCAGGTAATAACAGCTGTTAGTAGCTTTCAGCTTTTCTAAAGAAGGTGCCTGGCTTATTTCTCTGCACTATCACACCATTGGGCAGTTAAAAAAATAAAAATACCAGTACCAGAGACAGTTATTCCCTGATGCTGTCTCGAGAAGGGGAAATAGGTTTACTTTGGGGTGGCAGGAGGGGAGAGGGGAAAAAAATAAAGTTTTATAGCTGCAAATTGTGGTTTCAAATGAGAAACTTGGAGATATTAGGGAAGCAAGTAGTTAGCTCATCAGATCTTTTCTGTCCTTTGAATTCTGTAGATCTGAAGCAGAAACTAACATTTTTATTTCTGCAAATACACAAAGGCACATACCTCTTACGGAAAATACTTGCATCTAGTTAAGAACTAATATGGAAATTTTCTGTCTGTGCTTGACCCAGTTATCTATGTCACCAAAAAGAGCACTTGATTTCTGCTTTACAGCTTCAGAAGAGAACAGTACTCTCTCTCTCCCATATATGCTGATTAATTCAGAATATTGTATTTATTACCTGTTGAGTTTAAGCAAATATCCTGCTCTATCAACAGCAAGAGGAAGCCCGTGCAGGAGAAATCTGTATTTCACCGAAGGAAGCTTGGCATAAGCTACCTCGATATAAATGCAGGAGATATTTTTTTGTTTGTTTCTGTATGGTTCCCTTGCATGGAATCGGTTTGGTGATGTGGTTTCCGTTGGTTCCAACAATGTCAAGGCCATTGATGATGAAAGTTCGTACTGTTTTTCCCCATTGCTAGGAAAACTGTCTTCCCCCGTCCTGCCCCACAACCAAATCTCTGCCAAGCAAGCAGCTGTGAACAAAATTTCTCAGCAAAAGGAATTTGAAGTTTTGCACACTGGGTGGAACAGGAAAAACACAAAGTTTTGAGAGAGATGAGGTGGGGCACGCAAGTTCGAATCCTCTGAGTAAAATGGGAGGATATGCATTGGATGATCCTTTGGAGGTGTCTTATGTAGAAAACCACAGGAAAAAGTGGAAAAATGCAAGAGAAGATTATCTTTTCATAATGACTTTGGGTAACTTAGTCTAAGAAATATTTGCTATTAAAGTTGATTTGCAAGCCTACTGAAAGTGAGTACTGCAACTACATCTGAGAAACTGGCAGATCAAGGGCAAGGACTGGTCAGTAGAATGTGTTTTAATTTAATTTTAGTAAACATTATCCTTATCAAAGCTTCCTATAGAATTCTACATTTTATTTCCCCCAGGATTATTTTAATGGAGAGCAATTAAGTCACTATCAGAATTTTGTAGGTTTTTGTTTTGGTTTGTTTGTTTTTTTTAATCTAGGAAAATAAATGCAAGACATGAATTTGCAGAAAAGATGCATGCCTACCTTAAGACATCTATTTTTTCATGCTTATAGTGGAAATTTTCAGTTGCTTGCCATTTGGACAATCCTTAATTGAGATTTTCCACAATAATTTTCTGCCTTAATATGATTAATATTTCTACGTGTGACGGGGAGACAATGAGCTTAAATATGTGAATGAAATATAAGTAGAATTTATACATAAGTTATGAACAGAATAGCTGTGCATAATTCCCATTCCTCTGTGCTGTGGCCATAGTGCTTCTGATGTTTTATTACATTTGGAACGAAATATTTAGTTCTCAAGAAATACCTTATCCAAGAGAGACTCGGTTTTATCAAGGCTGTGAAATTGTTTCCAATATCTGTGGTATTTTAATGTTCTTAACTAATATTTTTATTTTGGTTTGCAATCAGGTAAGCCGGGGTGGAATAGTGCATAGGATGTGGAAAAGTCTGTTTGCAATTAAGGAAGACTAATTGGACTTCTGGGACTGTGTGTAAGATACACCAGTCTTTCCCACGGCCACGCCCTGAGCATATGATCTTTAACTGAATTCATGGAAACATCCAGGCTGCTTCCTACAGATTGCAGCTGGCACTGTCTGTAAAATCTGTGCTTCACAAAGAGAGGAGGATTTTATGTGATAATGTGCAATGATACATTTCATCCTGCCAGAATGATACTACACAGCTATGTGAAACAGATGGAATGCACTGCGAAAAGGAAGAAAAAGGCAATACTTGTGCCTAAAATAGGGCTCCTATTAATGGTCATCTTTGCAGTTCTCATTCAGAGGAGATGAAATAGTGTAGTCCTTGGCCATGAAATATGTGTGTGGCTTACAGACTGCATGCCAGCTAAATTGTTAGGTGACACACCAACTGTTTCTGCTATTTCAAACTTGTAACATGCTTCCCTGCAGCATAATCTCTTCAAGTAGAGCTTTTTCATTGGCATAGCATCACCTTCCTGTTAACAGCTTAAAAATGGAACAGTGTGTTAGCTCAAATTTAAGGCCAGTTATGGGTCTATCCGTAAGGTTAGCGTAGTCACTTGGTAGCACTTGGATTCCTCTTCAAAGGATTTCACTTCTCATTTTGTTAAGATGATTAGTTAATTACTCTGGTCCTGTAATTCTTCATGAAACTGACAGTAACTCTTGCAAAACAAGTGTTTCTTTTACATTTAGAAGCTTGAGCCTGTGTCAGAGTTGTGCTTATGTGAATGTTCCTCTGGATGCAGTACAGTGTGGATGAAGCTGAAGAGACTTCCCATTTAGAAACATTGGTGGATGATATTTTCCTGTATTTGTCCACACTAATATTAATTCAGATTGGTAAAAAATTATCCATGAGTTATTATTAGCTGTAGCGCTTGAAGGAGGTATGTGTAGAGAGATTAAAAAAAAAAAAAAAACACCCTGTTATTGGTCATTCTACTTTTGGCTACTTTAAGACCCCTCTGCAGCTGCTCTGTGAGGAAAATGAGGAGAGAGATATAACAAAGTCTCTGGTTATAGATGTAAAGCCAAAAGCTTTCATATTGCTGTTTTTTTAATTTGTCTCAAGTATGTGCTTCCATTCTTTTCTGTCATTAGGGGTCATTCACAAGCTTTTGTTCTTCTGCATATACTTGTTCAGAGAGATAGGCCATGATTTTGGAAGTCAAGACTAATGTCTCTGTGGGTTTCAGGAAGACATGTATAGGTGGATAAACAGCTAGAAAACATTATTCAGTGATATAGACTTCTGAAGAATATGTAGGAGGTAATTTCTCAGTGGACAAAGAGAAGGCTGAGGTATTCAACAACTTTTTTTTTTTTTTTTAACCTCACTCTTCACTGGTGACTGCTCTACACACAGCCCTCAAGCAGATGGTTTGGAAGGTGGAAGCATTGTTCCTCCTGCTATAAGTGAAAATAAAGTTCATGGCCACCTGAGCACCCCAAGCATTCGTAAGCCTATGGGTCTCAATGAGATACATCCCTGAGTCCCAAGGGAATTGGCTGAAATAGTCACCAAGCCACTGTTGGTGATATCTGAGAAGTCATGGTGGTGAATGGTGATGGAGATTGGTGACAAGTATTGAACCTTAGGAATCAGTACTGGGACCAGTGCTCTTTAACATCTTCAAAAATAACATCAACAGTGGGATTGAGTACACCCTCAGAAAGTTTGTGGATGGCACAAACTGTGGTGTGATCGACACACTCGAGGGAGGAGATGCTGTGCAGAGAGACCTAGACAGGCTCAAGCAATGGGCCCAGGTTAACCTGATGAGCTTCGATAAATTCAAGTGCAGGGTCTTGCATCTTGGTCACGGTAACCACTGCTGTCAGTGCAAGCTGGGAGATGTAAGGATGGAGCACAGCCCTGCCAAAAAGGTCTTGAGGGTGCTGGTGGATGGCAAGTTGGACATGAGCCAGCAGTGTGCCCTTGCAGTCCAGAAGGCCTGGATATAGCCAGTGGATTAAGGGAGATGATCCTGCCGTTCTACTCGGTATTGGTGAGATGTCACTAGAGTACTGAATCTAGATGCGAGTCCTCAGTTTAGGAGAGATATGGACCTGTTGGAATGCATCCAGAGAAGGACCACAGAAATGATCCAAGGGATGGAACAACTTCCCTGCAAGGACAGGATGAGGGACAGACTGTTTAGCAGGTTCTGTAGTGACAGGACAAAGGGAAATGGTTTCAAATTAAAAGACAGGATATTTAGGTTGGACTTAAGGAAGAGGTGGTTTTACAGTAAGGGTGGTGAGGCATAGGAAGAGATTGCCCAGAGAAGTGGCCGATGTCCTGTCCCTGGGGGCAACCAAGGCCAGGCTGGATGGGGTTCTGAGCACCCTGATCTAGCTGTGGCCGTCCCTCTTCATTCCAGGGGAGTTGGACTAGATGACCCTTAATGTTCCCTCCCAACTCAAAATGTTTTATGATACTTTCCATTCTGTTGGGGTTAACTACTACTGGTTTTTAACATTTTGAATCTCACAAATCTCCTTTATGGCTAACACACTCTGTATGAGTCCAATTAAAATATCTGTTGATAAAATGCCATTTGAGAAATACAAAAGATGAAAAAGCATAGGGAAAAAAAATGGGAAATAACAAGCTAATTAAAAAGGAAAGAAGACAGGCTTCAAACTGCTAGAATTCAAAAGGTTGTTTTTGGCTGCTGTTTTTTCTTGGCTTTTGCTACAGTTAAGATTAATAGTTTTGATAATTTAGCACAGTATAACTTGTAATGTCTAATATTCAAAGGCTGAAATATACCAGATCTTGCTCTTATGACTTTCGGCATGTGAAAATTTAAATGTGTTCTGAAAGAGGAAATGACTTGAACTGTAGTGGCTTAGGTTGACCTGGTAAAGACTTTGAAGTAGCTGGGCGTTTATTTTGTTTTGATTAAGTATGCTAAGCTGAACTTTTTTTTTTAATTGCCTTAAATTTATCTGAACTTTTTTTTTGGAGTAGTGAATGCATCAGAAATTTTCTGTGAGTGAAAATGTCAATATTCGGAATGAACTTCTGTCTGAGTGTTAATTTTCAATGAGACCAATTATTACTGCTGATAAGATGAAAAGTTTGGGAGTGTTTTGTTTCTTTATGTTATGTTTTGCTTGGTTGGGTTTCCCAAAATATATATATATGTATATCAACACAAAAGCAAAAGATGATAGTGCTTCAGATACTTCCTTTGCAAACTTACCTCTGTTTGCTTTATCCGTTGTATTGAAGTCAATGACCAAAGGTGAACTCAAATTTAGGATGCTGGTTCTAATGTGGTAGTTACTGCAACGCTGTGTTTATGCTGGCATGAGCAGTTCCCTTTCCTGGCCACCTGCTCTCTCTCCGTCCTGCTCTGAGTTGTTAGTGTGCTGTGGTCCACCTAAAAGATAACGCTTATATAAAACTTCATATAAGAAAACGATTTTAAAAAAATTAGAGTACTTCTGTCTGTGTTTTTGTGAAAGTGTCCACACTTCAATATGTGAATCTGGGAGAATTTCTGATTTAAGACCTGTGACTTTCGCAGAACACAAGGAATTGCCAAACTGGCTCGAGGCCAGTGACAAAGAGTGTGATCAGTAAGCTTGGAAAAAAAACAAAAGTCCTGATTCATTTTGTTTAATCCATTCTCTCATTCCTATTGCATTATTCTGACCTTGAGTAAAGTCTTTGAACTACAAAAATACTGTTCTCGTAAAATTAACGTGTTTTAATGAACAACAACAACAAAGCTTTCATAAGGGGACCGTTGAGTAAATGGCTTCAAGCTGTAAACATTTTCACAAAGAAATCTTTGGATTTCTTTACAGTCCTTGCTTGGTAAGCTGCAGCAGTCCTTCAAATAAAACCACCACCTGCAAGACATACATACAACAGCAGTTCACTCTGCACTTGTGAAGAGGCAGCGTCTGGAAAATAAATGAATGTCAAACATCTGAGTGAGAGTTTTTGTAGAATTGTCTTCATGTCTCTTTGAAGTCATCAATTCATGCTGTCATTATTTTAATTTGGAGTGATAGTGATTTTTCTTGGAAGTGCAGAAATGTTGGAGGAGAGAGTTAATATGCCTTATTTTTCACATATAAAATTTAATCTTATAACTGTAGTCTGTTTAAAGTAAAATATTTGAAATGAACTCCTCTGTATTTCCCAGTTGGGAAATGAGGGAGTAGGAAGCCAAGTGTGAGAGAACGAAGAAGCTGCTAAAGGAAAGAAAAGAAGCAGGCAAAGCCCCTCTGCTACAGAGTAAAATTCTCGTTGTACACCCTTCCAACATGCACTGCTGCTGAGATTTATTGCAGGTTACTCTTTGTGGTATTAATATCAGCAGATGCAAGCTGAGTGGAAAGCAAGATGAGAAACGTTGTTCGGGATACGTTGTTAAGGCTCTCGGTTCTCTTAATCGTAGCAAAGAAGTCCTGTCTTCATGCTCTCAGTTAAGGCCTGTGCCCATGCTCTGTAGGGACGAATGAAACTTGTCCTCACTGTAGCAACTGTATGAATGGCAGTGTTGTCTGTGCAAATCCTTGTCCTATATTCAAGCTCCAAGGAGTTGTAAAAGGAGACAGGAAGAAAGATAGAGCCCTTGGAATAAAATGTTTAATGAAGGCCTAGTCTAAAATATTAAAGATAGTCCCTGCTTGAATACACAGCTGGAATGAAGAAATAAGAGTTCTTCCAGCTTGGGATATTCTGTGATATTATATGATTCCAGTAGAATCGTGGGCTCAGACAGTATAAGGCAGGAACTGTAAAACAAGCACTAAATGAACGAAATTCAATTTTAAAATGCAACCTGTGGAGAAAATATTATCCTGCTTTTTTATTATAATTTTATTTTGATAAAATATGTAAAGGTGTGTGTTCAAGGGAAGCTGATTTCAATAGTAAAGGTCATTTTATGCTTGCTGCCTGTTCTTGTTATCTCTTTTTAAGCTAGATGTAAGAAAGTTTTATACTATATCATGCTGTCAGACTTTGATAGTGGTTTTCATTTAGAAGATGAAATAATCAGTACTATTGGCAGAAAATATAACCAAGAAAACATTGTGAAATTATTTTGGAAGTGTGGAGTATTGTTATTTTGCTTTAATATTTCTAACATTCATATGATGCATTTATTTGGCACAGTTAGATATCTAACAAATGGAAACAATCCTGCTGAATTTTAGCTCTATTAGTCTGTAATCGAGTCGTTGCATTTCTTCCATGTGCAATTGCAGCATTTCGTACTGCTGGCTTCATAAGTTGTGAAGTCAATAGAAAGTTCAACTTATTTCAGTGGGAAGAGAACTTCAATAATCTATAATAAAGGCATTGAAACAGAGGGAGAGAGAATGTCTGTCTATGCAAGAACAAGAAGGAAATGTTTTTGTATTTCTAGCAGCTATATCTGAAAGGTATGCATCCTTTTTTGTCAATAGAATCCGTGTCAGTGTAGATTTAAAGAGCCAAGTTGGTGTGACGGATAAAGACACAAAACCATCTTAGCTCTGCAGTCTGCTGTGTGGAGAGGAGAGATGGTGCCTGAGGGCAGAAGTTGCTGAATATTCCATGGGAAGAAACCTGTTCGAGTTTTACCCTCAAAACTGTTGCTATGATGATTTTGTTGTGGGTTGTTTGTGTTTTTGCGTGGGTTGTGGTTTTGGGATTTTTTTTTTTTTGGTTGGTTAGTTTGGTTGTTTTTTAACTGTAATATATAGCCTAAAGAACTAGCACCACCATCAATTTATGGTACATTCTTACAATTTTAGGAATTATTAGAGATGGCCAACAGTGCTGTCAGTAACTGCTAGTATAATCTGTTGGAAGTGGGAGAAAAAGCGGGAGAAAAAAACTTAGATGAATGGTAGCCAAAAGCTGTTAATGGGAAAAAGTACACAGAAGTAATTTAATCTGTGTAATTTTATCTACAGATGGTTCTGTAATCTCTGCAAGGCTTCTGGCAAGCTTCTAGAGTGATGCACAAAAAAAAAAAACAAAAAAAAAAACACCAAACAATTTGCATGCTAATAGAATAAAAGATATGATACATCTTTGCTTGCTGTAAGCCTGTAAGTGGGCCTTGAAACACACAGTATGTGTGGTCCTAGAAATGAGCAGTGAATGCTCTTGTATTGAGCTAGACTACTGCCAAATGCGTGATGAAGTTGGTACAAAATAATAAATCCATAAAAATGGGAGATGCCCCTCTGTTTCTGCTTCACACGTTTCTCTTTTTAGTCCACAAGAACAGAGTAAATGCTATCATACCACAACTACTTTGTAGTAAAAAACTGTTGGAAAGGCAGATAGAAAGAAGGAGAAAAGTTGGTGTGTGGAACAACAGATTTGACATTTATTTAAGATGTCTCTGTGAGAAGTGATGCAAGTCTGGAGAATGAAAAGTTGAAAGAAACTGGGCTTGTTGCGCTTTGAGTTGTTTTCTGTATTTTATATTTTGTGGTGATGCAATGAATATTGCGCATCTTTTCATAGTTGTCAGTCCGTTTGGGGACATCTTCAATGGGCCTGTAAGCATATTTTTTTTCTGCAGATGAAGGGATCTCAGTTGATCCTTATATGTGCTGCTGCATTTCTTAGGCAAGCTCTTTGTAGTGCTGCATGTTTCTGATGCTGCCCATTACCAGCCAGTGGTACACACAGGGATCTGTCCCAGTCCTCTGAAGGAGTTCAGAATGGTACTGGAAGCATTTCTGTTTTTACTTCTGTTAACCTGTTTTTCACGATGTGACCCTATCTGATTTGAAGAGTGGTGGTCACACAAGTTTCAAAGAATAAGTGCAGCAATGTAATTCTATAAGCGCTGCCTTACAGCAGTTCTGCCAGCATTCACAGGATAGTCCTATCAGTGTTTTAAATCGGTATGTTTAAGTTAAATTTTGTTTATTGTAAAATACAGTGCAGTGAGGTCTGTAGGAAGCTGTGAAGAGCTAGTGCTTCTATACTATAGAAGTTGTCTCAGAGAATCCATCTTTCAGTTTCCTGTCTCACCTGTTTTAGGAGTCTGCAACTGCTGATGTTTGGGTCTTAGTTAAAAGTAGCAGTAGGGAGCAAGGAATTCTAATGTCATGAAACTGTTCTACCCAGTGTTCAGTATGTTTGTTCTGTGGCCATTATTTTTTAGTTTCCCTCATTATCCCTGTTATTATTAGGAGGATGGAGAAATTCCTGCACATACAGGTGTGAACTGTTGTGTAATACCAACAGGGCAGTTTGGTCCAAAAATTAGCAGAAGTCCCTTCAGAAATAAAAGAGCATTTTACCTGGTTAGAAGGATTTCCAAATTGCCCTGAATTGGTCTCTGTGCAAGCTTGGAGGTAGCTCACTTTCAGGACTAAAGTAATATGGTCCACAAAAGCCATTATAGTTAGAAAAGAATGTGCCTCTGAACAAGAAGAGTCTTTTCCCCCAAAGCTTATGTGACCAGAGAAGTAAGTGATTCTGTAGCTCTGCTTGGGGCTCCTGGAATTTTCTAACAGTGTAATACAACAATTTGCATTAGGGATGCTTGGAAAGGGTTGGACATTTTCCAACTTGTTTTTTTTTGGCTATACCTCGGGCTGAAAGAACTAAACCCTGCCTGAGGGAATGAAATAGTTTGAACTGTATCCCTATCTCTAAAAAGAACCAGAAATAACAAAATACCTGGTCTGAAAGTGCTAGCCCCAAGAAAGTAGGGAGTGCTAGAATAACAGGAAGAGGGTGGGGTTTTTTGTCAAGAAATAGCCATTTGCACTCCCACTTTCAGCAGAGAGGAAGGATATATACATCCACATTTCCACGTTTAACTTCAGTGTTGTAATGTTATAGCATCGTTGCAAGCTAATGGGATTTTTACTGGAAATTTTTTCTCAGGAGGTTCATAGATTACCATAGAATTTGTGAAATACCTTTGTGCACGTGTATGAATGTAGGCATGATATGTCAGTAACTCTCTCCCCTATCTCACAGATACAGAGATGCATTTTGACTTCAAGTCTAGCTAAAGGGCAGCTGCTTAAAGTAAAAGCCTGTGTATTTTCTTGATGTATTAAAGACAGTCAGATGATTGAAGTTCAAAAAAATCCTTATTGTTTCACTTGGTTTTTTGTTGTTTGTTTGTTTTTGTTTTTTTACCCTTTTGCTGGATGATTGAAACGGGAAGTGTCTGGAACTCAGCAAGGGTGACATTTATTCTTGGGAGAGTGGGAAAAGATTAAAAGTAGAAACAGCTGATGAGGCAGGATGGATGGCCCTGTAAAGAAAGTAGGAGGAAGAGAAACGTGAACATCTGTTAAAGCTGTACCAGTGACCCTTTTGGCTACGTTGCAGTTCCTTTTGAATTCATTCTTCAATAGATGTCACCGCTATCAGTGAGAAACTCAGCATGGTCTTGTGCATTCTCTTTTGGGGACTGTAATGAAAACGAAAAGCAGGCTGATCAAGTGTTTTTATTTTCGCTGTTGTTGTTTTTGCTGTTGTTTTTGTTGTTGTTGTTGTTTTGGTTTATTTTGTACTTTTTTGTATGTGGGATTGGTTATTATTTCTTTTGTTTTTTTTCCCCTTTTCCAGTTTTTGTGCTCCCCTGACATTTTGTCAACATGCATTAAAAAAAAAAAATGAAATTTTAGAGATATGAATTGCTATTGAAATTTGCCCTTCTCATCCCACTGATGGTCTTTTACTGGGAAAACAGGCGGGGCACTAGAACTGTTGGTTTTAAGGTTGTGCCCACTGGCTTACAGTGAGTGGTGTCGAAGGATTCTGCATAGATTCCTACCATCTTTTCCCACAGGTTAACTTCCATTACACTCAAATTTAATCTTGGCCTAATAAAAATGTCCACTTTTCCCCACAGTAGAATCATTGAAGATGTGCAATAGTAGAACAGCGCCTTGGGAAGCATTATTGCTTAAAGGAATCTAACAATGGGTTCTTTTATTATTAACTTCTTTGCCTTGTGTATCTCATGCCTCCCAATTATGAGAGTCCTGAGAATTGTATTCGTTTTTCAGCTCATCAAAAAATTTTAATCTTGCTGTGAAAGTTCTTGTCCTATCCAACTGAAATAAACTTTGAATGAATTCATCTGATGATGCAAGAAATGTTTTGCTGAAGTCCAACGTGATTTGCTGAAATAGGCATCTGAATGACCCTCAGCCTGTATTTTGTAATTAAATCCAATAGTAATGTTTGGGAAGATATTTTTTTTTTCCTCTGTGTATAAGTTTTTGTGTTTACAAGTTAGTAATTGTAAGGAATGAATAGAAAACATTGTAAAAATAATAGACTTAATCTTTTATCGCTTGAGGAGAATTAATAATTTAATGCTGGATACTGGAGTATTTGATGGGAATTGTCTATGGAACCACTAGATACAGACTCTTAAAGGAACTGATCTAAGGGGTGACTTTTTATATTGAACAGAAAAAAATTATATAAAACAGGAACAGTGAAGCAACACAGGAATTTTGCTGTTGTTCATATGATATCGTATATGTAAAGAAATATAAGATTAATCAAGGGCCATATCTAAGTCTTTATTTGAAATTTCTCATCCACTATCTCTTGTAGCAAAAGGATTTTTGGAACTATTGTGGGGAAAATTATTTTGAACTCCTTCATATGGAAAAAAAACAAAGAAATATAATGATTGCTATGTTCTACTCGATTGCTCTCTTTGTTCTGTGAATGTTCTGTATGGCTTTTAAACCTCTGCAGATGTGCTTTGGCACATCTTGAAGAGCGAAGGAGACAATTATAGTATTTCTTTACATCCAAGTAGTTAATTTTGATTTTCTTAGAATGCTAGTGTTTTGGTTCTTTCTCTCCCAGGTAAAGAGGCACAACTAAAAATGTCTTAAGAATTTTATCAGATTTGAATTAATGCACCCCTTTCCCAATTATCACATACAATTGAAACCGTGTCATGCCCTTACTTATTTAGGTGTCTCCATCTATATTTTGTATTCACTTGATGTTCAGTCATTAAACATGGATATTTAGATGTTTTTAGTAACAAAGACCATAAAAGCTGCCGTGCTGTGTGACACATGGTGATTTCAGCAATTAGCAGTTCACAGTAGTTCTCATCAGATATGAACTTTCTAAAGAACTATTGGATTGCGTTGCAAATATATTTCATGTCTGTCAGTTGGTCTTCCTTTTAATCTTTTAAAAAAAGTTCAAAACAGCATGTTTGAAATCCAGTGTTCCACTGAATTACCTGGGCAATTTCCAGCAATCAGTATTAGAGGCTTGCACGCCAACAGTAAAAATAGAAGGAGGATCACTGATACAGTCTTGCTCTGGATTAAAAGGGGGACAGCAGTAACTGATTTTAAAACAGGTTTATTGTATTTCTATCAAGATTTACACTAAACAACAGTAATCTTGTATCTTTAGTCTGTGCAGCCTACAAAATGCTGTTTATTGAATTACAGTTAAGAAGACTCAGTGTCACTGTACTGGCAAAGTAGATACAGAATGCTTGCTTTTTGTGAATGAGACATTGTAGAAGTAATATCTTTGTGTAAAATTCTCTGTGCTGGGCAACGTACTGTATCACTTGTTTCTCATGCACCAATTGTAGGTTGTGATGCTGGATAAAAAAAAATCCAAAAACAAGCACAAGTATGATTGAAGGTCAAATGTGCCTTGAGTCAGGAGGAAGGTTTGCATGAAGATATTCGGACAGCAGCAGGCCTCTTGCTTGAGTAGCAGTTCAACCTTTGAATGAAGTAGGCAACTTAGATCTTGGCCTTTGGGACCTGTTAATTGCTGTCTATCTGTTAGAGTTGATATTGGCTACCAAATTGAGATAAACCCTCTGAAGAAGTGGTATTAGTTGAGGCCATGGGTGGGCCCTTCCTGCCTGAACTGTGAGAGATGGATGTGCTGGTGCAGGCAAGGTCTGGCTCCTGGAATTTGCTATGGTGAACTGAATGCATTTTCTTCACATGATATTGTGCATCTCCATGTAGGTCAAAAGACACCAGGTGGAATAAAAATTAAGCGGACGTCCACTGATTTGTTCTACTGCATAAAGAAAATATGAAGTCATTCATCAGTTGTTGCTTTCATGAAATAACTTTTTTTCCTGTATTTTTTTCCCTGGCAGTGTGAGTTAATTCAATCACAACATAAAATACACTGCGTCAGATATGAAAATGACAAAAAACTGGATCACATTCTTGCTGTTCTTCCTCTCAGTTACTTTGGTGAGTTTTATCATTATCATTTTTTGTTTTTTTAAATCAGTATCAGTTTGAACAAGGCTGTATAGAATACTATAGGAATTTTTATTTTTCTGTAAGGCAATGATGTATTCAAATACAGTTTCTGCAAAGTAGGATTCCTATCTGTCTTATGTCTTCCTTTCATTTCCAGTACTAAAGGAACAGTAATAGTAATTGCCTCTGCTGAACGAAACGTATCTTTTGCTAGCATAGAAGTTGATGGTAACAGATGACATGTGACATATAAGTAGTACTGTGTAATTTCATGGAAGAGTGGGTAAGACTTATTGCACAGATTCAAAGGAAATCCGAGGAACTTTTAATTTCATCACCTGCATGACAAAGATACAGTATTTCTATCTGCAAGTGTTTTATTTTCCATGAAGCTCAGTTGATTTAGGTAAAACTTGGTAGTTTTTAAAAAATGTAGTTAAAAGTTCAAGATTCCCTTTTGTGTGTGTGCATGCTTTATTTTGAAAAACTACCACAGTGGATTTCATGTCATTTGAATACTTTTCTGTATTCTGAAGATTGAGTGCTTCACAAGACCATAGAAAAATGAGCCAGCTTATAAGCAAATCAAAAGCTTTAAGTGTATGGGCAGTCTTTTCATGAAGGATCAATTTGCTTCTGATCCAAATGCCCCTTAAAATAATACAAATACCATATATTTTACTGTATGTTGAAAAAACTGTCTATGCACTTCTGATTGTTTCCATGCTGTCTACGCATTTTTAAATTATTTTTTATGAATCTTGCAGATATTTATTCCTCCATGCTCACTCAGGTGATATGTGCCAAGATTCAGTAATAAGAATTCTTAAATTAGCCAGAAAAACACAATATCAGATTATCAGTAGTAAGATTTGAAGATCACTTTGCTCAGTAAAATTATATTTCAAATACAATATTTAAAGATATTGAAATTTTATTATCAGTTGGTATGTGAGTCATAGTTTCAAAGTTGGTTGAAAAAAGGTGACTTGCTAAAAAAAAGTCTTTTTCCTCCTAGTTATTTGCCACTGCTATTCCATCTGAAGGTCATCAAAATATGACAGAGGACTTTGGTCAACTGAGTTTTACACGGAATAAAATTATGACAGCACAGTATGAATGCTACCAGAAAATTATGCAAGATCCTATTCATAGGAAAGAAGGTAGAGTTTACGTTCTCATATGATTTTCCAAAGGGAAGTGCCCAACATATAATTAAAGTAATTCAGGATCCTGACCCTTTATTTATGTTGATGTCATGTTTTGGTAGCAATCATTCTTTCTGGCTCTTTGTACAGTTTTTTAGAAACAACATTAAAGTAATATGATGTGTATCACCTGCCTATTGTTTTACATCTTGTAAGACACAAATCTTTTATTTCTGATAAGAAAATGTTAAAGAGATATTCAGATTTTAAAAATTGAGACTGTTTCTGCATTATAATTTCTGAAAATATTAAATGGTTCTGGAGAGAAGAGGCGATTGCACTCCTCTCCAGAACCGTTTTTTTCTCTTCTGAGGTGTTTCTTTGAGGAAAGCAAACGTCTGAAGGCCAGAAATGGATATGAGAGTGTTTATGCAGAAGCTTATGTACAGGCCAGGGCACCACAACTTCAGAACAATATGGACAAATTGGAAAATCTCCAGATCAGAAGTAAAAGAAGTATGGTGTTTGAGCCTTCGAGATAGTTTGAGGAGCAGGGAGAAGGTGGTATTATTTTTTGAATAGAAAACTGAAGGAAGACAGAAAAAATATTTTTCCAATCTGTGCTCAGTCATTCTGCATGTATTCTGGGAAATAAATTTGTTATAAAACCCCAGCTGAATCTCAAAGGAAGTTTATTTTAGGTGTTCTAAAACAGATCTACGTGAGTACAGTGAGGGATTAAAACAGGCTCTTGAGGGACACTGCAACATCCCTGTCCTTGAACGGACAAATAGCTGCAGGCTCATCTCTGAGGAAGAGAAACCATGGCTGCCTCCCAGATAGGCTTTCTGATTGCTTCTGGGATACTACTTAGTTTTCAGTGACCTAATAAATACACATATAGCTCAGGTATACATTCAAAATGTAAATAAATTCAGTAAAATGGTCTTTGCAAAATCAGAGAACCGTAGAATGGTTTGGATTGGAAGGGACCTTAAAGATCATCAACCTCCTGTCAGGGCAGATAAAATTCAAAGCTCTTTGTTGTGCATTTTTTGGTTTGAATTGGTTTACTTTGCTTTGCCCAGAGAATATTACCTTACTATGCTCTAGATCTAATGTGTTTTATGAACTATAGGGATAGATAATTTAAAGAGGAATGGTAATGGATTTTAAAATGTATTCTGAGAAATATACCTGAAAGGAAGTGTTTCTGTTACATGAAATATTAACTGCTGGTAAATTTTAAGTTTCCATTTTTATCTTTACAAAGCAAAGTGTGCAAATGAGAAACTTACCTTGTCTGGTGTTATACCTTACTTTTGAAAGACTACTATGAAGGGTTATTTTATTACCAGTTGTCCACTTGTTTCTAGGTCCTTACTGTAACAGGACATGGGATGGCTGGTTGTGCTGGAGTGATGTTGCTGCAGGAACTGTATCAGTACAGCACTGTCCTGACTACTTCCAAGATTTCAATCCATCAGGTAAGTGTGTGCATGGGCTTTCTACATAAACATATCACTTAATGAAATGAGTTTTTGGGTACTTGATGCCTATTCTTTGCCTTACTCAAACCACTAATGCATCAGAATTTCAGTAACTTCAAATCCATTATGTGCACTTTCCTTCTATCACAGAAAAGTGGAGAGCTTTGCTCTTGGTGATGAGTTTTACCTTCTGAGAGGAAAGCAGAAATGTAATTTTTTTTCTTTTTCCTCAGTTTGGCAGCTGAAGTTAACAAGTGTTTCTCCCACAAGTGAGTCTTTTCCAGTAAGCTGAACTTTGCCACTGTGTGAGCATGTGGAAAATGTCATAGACTTCCACTCTTGTCAGTTTCTACTGCATTTGCTATTTCCCAGGGTCTTTTGGTGCCCGTTTCTATTTGATTTAATCATTATGTGGTCCTGGAAATTCTCCAGTCTGATTCTAGAGCGGTTTCTCTATTGATGTTTTCCTGCCTGTTCAATTTACAGTGGTAGGATGTTAGACTTCCATTTCTATCTTGCATGTTAAAGTAGCCATTTAAGTATCCTTGTCACTTCATCTGGTAGTTCTGTAACAGTTTGATATATTTTGATTGTTTTTTGTAGAAGGAAAATGTATTTTTTTCTTTTTTTTAAGAAAAAACACATCATTAGTTGCCCTTGCCAAGCACAGGCAATGGCCTCTGGTTTCTCAGAATTCCAAGTAACAAGCAATGTCTCTCTAGTCATATTAATAAAGCTGTCATTTGTTTGCCAGTCTTTTTTGTGAAACACGAGGATCAGGAAGTAGAACTTCACTGCTGACTGTTGTGTTTTTTTTCTTTTTGACTACTCTGACCGCCTGTAGAAAAAGTTACAAAGATCTGTGATCCAAGTGGGAACTGGTTTAGACACCCAGAAAGCAACAGGACATGGACAAACTACACCCAGTGTAATATCTATACGCATGAAAAAGTGAAGGTAGGAAAGGAATAAATGCATGTCACCAGTCTCAAGAAACTGATCTGTGAAACTTGAAAAATTCTGGCATGCACAGACAGTGTCTCATCTAATAACATTTCTTTAAGCTCTACCTGTAATCTATTTATATGATTTCACAAGTTGATACCTGCAACCATTCAAACATTAAATTGGACTAATAGGTTCAGAGGACGTGTACAGTATGGGTTGTATGAGGCCATGTATGCAGGCTATTATTCCTTCTTACACAATCTAGATAACTATGCTTTATCATGGTAATATAAGGTTCATTTCTTTCTGTGTAAGATGATGATTTTTGTAATTGAAAACAAAAAAAGCAAATTTGTGAGGCAGATTCCATAATTGAAAGCAGAATTTTGTTATTGGTAGAACTGAAATTATTAATTCAAGTAATTGATGGTAACGTCTTGTACATATGCCTAACATAACTTTACCAGTTCATTATTATTTTGCTCTCTATCTAGCTTTTCATAATACTATAATTTGGCTGCAGATTTATTTGATGGTTCCATTTAGTCTTTGATAGTTCAGAATCATTGTTAATTTTTTTTTCATTCTTCAAACAAAAGGTTGGTACAAAGAAAGTATCTTTATAAGAGAAAAAATTATGGAAGCAAAAAATATACATTCATATGTGAACACATTATTTTCTTTAAGAGATGTATGATAGATGAATCCAATCTAAGATAGGAATGCACTGAGCACAGTAGCAAAAATGACCAGTTTTTATATAAATACTCAGAAAAAACAGTGTGTGTATTTAAAAGCCTAATGTTTTTACATCTAAGAGAGAATTTCTAGTGTTTCAAATGAATCTGGTTTTTGCCCAACAGAAAGAGATTTTAGTAAGATAATGGTTTGCAGGATTCTGGATTGACTCATATCAGTAAAGTTTTAATTTTCTTAATCCTACTACAGTCATTTTGTAAATAGAAAAGATGTATAAGCATGTTCCTCCTTAATAATTCTGTATGAATCACATGTGCTTGGTTTTATTCTTCTGTTGCAGACTGCTCTGAATTTGTATTATTTGGCCATCATAGGACATGGTCTTTCAATTGCCTCACTTCTGATTTCTCTTGGCATATTCTTTTACTTTAAGTAAGTATATTTAAAATTCTTTACCAAATATTAGTGCTTGCAACAATCCTAGTTTCAATGTTTTTGAAACACAGGCCTTCCCAATAAATTAGCTGGAGCAACAAGGTGGGAAAAAAAAAAAAAATCAGTGTACTGGTTTGGCATTGAACATGCTGTTATAATAAAATTTTAGGTTTCTTTCCTCAGAAACCTAGAATTCCCGATCTGCAAATTAAAAATTGTAGCAGATGTTGGAAATGGGGAAAAAATGGCACTTAGAAAACACACCCAAGTACTAAGCAAGCATTTCTGATGGAGAAGGGTTGCTTTTTTGCTTGTTTATTTTTAATAATAACTTAAGATGTAGATATGTCAAGCATGGGTCATACTAAAGAGTAAATGGAAACCAAAATACTGATGGTATACAAGTCACACACACATGGTGTAAACATGGCACATAAGTCACATTCTGAAGTAAACAGCCACATAACACAATAAACTGTGAAGAAAATAAAGCTAAGAGCAACATTAGGAACAACTATAAAAATAATCTTAATTTTCCTTATTCCTTGTATTACTTTTTGTGAGAGTTCTGTTCTATCCACTCTGTAGCAGTTACTATGTTATCTTGCAAGCAAGCCTGAGTAGCGTGCTGCCAACATAACCAATTTCATAACTTGCAGCATATCGCGTGGGTCTTTAAAAATTGTCTGCTTCACACTTCACTCACTTTTTTTGTGTTTGTAAGATGATGAGGCTTAGTGGAAAGCTGAAACCAGTGTCACTGCAGGGTTGCCATGTGAGCAGAGCTGAGGCAAAGCGCAGCGCTGTCAGTGATGAGCTGTTTTTTCTTCCAAATGCTGCATTGCCTGGTGTAGGCTCACCTTGTTAACTGGCACTCCATTAATCATTTCTGCATTGTTTTTCATTGGAAGAGATGGATCTGCTCTAGGATAGCTGGATCCACTTCACAATCTTAGCAGTTTCTCATCACTGTACCCTTCCATTTCACTTCATCTTTTTTTTTTTTTTTCCTCTAATACGTAAATAGGAGTACCACCTATATCAGTAATGGTTGGGCTGTTTCAGATTTTGCTTTTCTCTTATTCTGGACTTTGAGTTGATTTGGTAGCGGTAGTAGATACCTGCTAAAGAATTATCCTTTTTTGTTAGATCTGGCATAGTGTTTCCAATTTACTTATGTATTATTTGCCCAAGTTCTGGAACAGCATTACAATAAATTCCTTGCAGAGTGTTTCAAGTTTATACCTCCTCTTTTTGAAATGCTTTTAAGATGATTTTTCAGCTGTTTCTGACTTTTCCTATTTCCAAATTCACTTTCTCTCCACAAAATTAAAATTTTAGATGGTCCCAAGTCCCTATACGTTTGAATTTTGCAGTAAAAAATGCAATGCCTTTATTGTGAACCTCATAATAAAGATTAACAGATGAAAAAATCTCACATGGTAGAAAAAAAAACATTGCAAGAAATTTGTAAGGCAAAAGCAAAAAGCTTTTGAATACAATTTTAAAAGCTCAAAGACAGTGAATTTTTCTGTGCTACAAATGCAAACCAAGCCAATTTTATCTTAACTTTGGCACTTCCTACAGAAGAAGGTGGTTTGCTTCACTACCATCACAACTGTTACATTTGTCATACCCTCCAGGAACTTTTTTCTCCCTTTTGTAGAAGGATCCTCCATCTTCAGAGAAGCACATGGAATTAATCTAGACTCAAACACCACAACTTCTAGACTGTGGTTATGTTGGGATATAAAGGGAAATTACAGAATTTAAAGGAAACTAAAGAAAGTTCTCTACAAGTTATTCTCTTGGGATGTGCGGTTCCTCTAAAGTATTTTTAGTACCAGAAGGATATTTAAGGATCTAGATTAATACCAGGATGTATTATGTATCAGCTGAAGCTTGTGTAACTATTGATAGCTTCTTAACAGGTGGACTTTCTTCTTTTTTTTTCTTTTTTTTTTGCTATTGTGTGGGGAAGCCTATGAATTTATTCTCTTAGATTGTTTCCAGACAGCATTTGCTGGCTTGCTGACCATTACAGAATCTTTAGGTTTAATTAGAAAAGTAGGAGTATTTCTTCATAGGAAAAACGACAGCTTTTTTTTTTTTTCCAAAAATCTTCAGCTTTTTCAAGTATCAATTACTTGATTTTGACTGATTTTTTTTTTTTTCCAGATTATTACAGTTCTGTGCATTTTATTTTCAATTCGATTTTTTTTTCTTCAGAAAACTATCATTGGAAATATCAGTTCAATCTGTGACTTGTGCTCCTCGAGTAGATTTTTGCTTCAAAATGGGTTACAGATTTGGAACTCCAGTCTTTTAACCAGAGAAATTATCAGTGAAGAGTAGTGATTTGCAGTGACTCTCCTTTCTCATTCTGTTACATACTCAAAATTGTACATAAGTTTCATAAATAACTTTTCTTAAGAAAGTTCTATGGTTATTTTCATAAAGAAGGAAAAGTGAGTTAACAAAAAACTTAAAAGAGCAGGGCATTGAGGGAAAGGAAAAAATCTGAAATAAAGGAGAATCTGCTGATGATGCATCACCCAGTGATCTGACAGCACTTGCAGAGGCTATCAACACTGAACTTAGTCTGGACAAACACTGGATAAGATAGATGGAAAGATATTGGGTTCCTAAATCGCTTTAAGTTCACCTAAGCATAAAGGCTAATTCCCCTTGGGTGTATATATGGATCTCGCTTTTTTTTTTATAATAGAAATTAGAAAATGAAATCTTTTCTTTCTTCTGGAAATAATTTTTCCATAGTGCCAAGACATACAGAAGTGAAATTAAAAATACAGAATTATAATACATAAAAGTATATAATTTAACAAGAGGGTTTTATTGTTGTTTTTTGGTTTGTGTCACTAAGAAAAACAGTCAGAAGAAGGAAATAGGAAGGATAACAGACAAGGGAGGGGTGGGGAGTGTAAGGAAGAAATCCCTTTATTACCAAAAGCAAATTTCATTTTTAAATGTCAGCAGTCTTGCTTTCATGTTTCTTGTCCGGTGATCCTTTCAATCTTTTTCTGCATGGGTGGAGGTGGGTGTGGATGGGTGTGTTTGAATATTCAACAGGAACAGCTGCTGGATGACCCCGGGAGATGGCCCCGTTAGTTGTACGTGCTTTTCCTTGCCTCTGCACTGAATCTTAACAATAAGCAGACAGGCTTCCAGAGTTCCTCAGGACTTGTTTATACAAAACTGTTAGCTGGAATTCAGTGCTGCTTTCCTTCTTTCTATATGAACCATGTAGGAAAAAAAGTGCAGAGATATATATATTCAAAGGATATAAAAACTAAGTGTATTTTGATAATCAAACTTCATGTGCTGTTTAAACACACAAACGTTAAAAACAACATTAAAAACAAAAGTATTTTTAAAGCCTAATGAAATGTACTTTTTCACTGAATTCATATCCATATGTGTATTTTCCTCAGTCAGATAAAGCCTGGGTACCAGAAGATCGTTTAGGGTCAGAGTTGATCTGTGTGCCACACTGTATGGCAGCACTGGTTTCTAGAACACTTTCTCTGACCTATATTTGGGGACATGAGGCTGGAAATGCCTTATGGCTCCAAAGTGAGACTTGCAGAAACTCCAATTTTGTTTGGTGTTTGTTTGAAAAGATCAGTTTCTTTGGAAAATGTGAATGAACAGCACTCCTACCTCTTGCAATGACACTGTTAGATCTGCTTTTTTTTTTTTTTTTAGAGTGATGGGTAGCAGAAATCTGCTATTCCTATGCTCAATGTTGGGTATAATTTAGAACCACAGAATCATAGAATCCTTACAGTAGGAAGGGACCTTGAAGATATCTAGTCCAACTCCCCTGCAGCTAGATCAGTTTGCCCAGAGCCCTGATTCAGCTTTGCCTTGAAAGTCTCCAGGGATAGGGCATCAACCCCCCTCTCTGGGCAACCTGTTCCACTGCCTCACCACCCTCACTGTAAAAGATTTTTTCCTTATATCCAACCTAAACCTCTTTGAGTCTCAAACCATTTCCCCCTCCCCTTTACTCTGCACTGGCAGCCAAAGTGGCTGGCTATTACAAGCCCACCAAGGTACCTCAGCACTGCAGTATTGCTACATTTGGGGGGGAATTCTGACTTAGAGGCATTCAGTAGTAATCTCACAGATGGCAGCCTCACTCCAGTGGTTCCTCAGCCAAGTACATACATTAAATGTCTGGACCTGGGGTTTCTTTCGTACTGAGCAGGATTGCTAGCTGGGATTACAACCATACATCATCAGTAGGGTAAAACTAAGCTGTCTCACAATGGTCTCATTAAGTATTCTTTTTTTTTTAATAGCTCTTCGAAATATATTTTAGTCTTAAATTTTATTGCAATATTCAAAGGAAATGTTGAAAATAAACCTTAGCATATTGCATTTTGTAACTTTCATATTCTGTTTATAACTTGATTATACACGAGCCAAGATAATATTTTTCACTCTTCTATTTATTTGGGTATTTCTCTAGCTATAGGATTAGGGAAGAAAAGTGACCAATAATGTGAGTAAAATAGAATTGTTCTCCAAAAATCTTGGCAGATGTGAGTAAATTGAAACATTGGCTGACACAACTTCCTCAGGCTTGGTTGTGATGGTGAGTTGGAAGATCATCAGACACTAACAAAAGCAGAATGTTTTCAGAAACATCTTACTACCTGTATCCAAATTATTTTTGGGCAACCACTGTAATGCAAGTCCTTAGTTGTGAATGTATTTGAACTGAACATACTTGTTTTCCTCCTGTTGTCAAATGAACTAGAGATTAAGGGAAGGTATTACCTTTCACATCGTTCTATTAAATTTGGACTGGAGTTGAAGAAAGGGTTGATGTAAGAGTGCATAATAAAGAGCTCTAGTATTTCAAAATTTCAGAGTTGTCCCCAATTACGCATAGCTGTCCCCTTGTGTATTCATTTGTTCTTCTTTCTCTTTTCTAGGAGCTTGAGTTGCCAAAGGATTACCCTACATAAAAATCTCTTTTTCTCTTTTGTTTGCAACTCTGTTGTAACAATAATTTCACTGACTGCAATTGCCAACAATCAGGAATTAGTTGCAGCTAATCCAGTAAGTGAAAATATATCTGGCAGCTTTGTTGATTTGTATGTGAAAAATTTCAGTGATGTAGAAGGGATAAATGAACCATGAATAGTTAATGAAATGTTGTTTGCAGCAAGGGCAAAATGTTAAATAATAATGTATCCATGCTACGTATTGCAACAGATGTCAAACAGTGATTTGGGCACTTCACATTTGAGGTTTTGAAATAATAAATTAGCTTCAGAGACAAAGTGTACTGAAGTACTCTTCTGAATTTGTACAGATGACTTCTGCACTGAAACAACTGCAAGAAAGTAGCCTGTTTTCGTGATGTCAGTGAGGTTGTGACAGCCGAAGTTTGGTAGTGTATTTTGGCTCTCTCAGCAACTTTTTTAGGGCTTTTGCTTTCGATCTCGTTGAAATGAAAATTCTTTTCGTCTCTCTCTCACTGGGTTAAGTGTGAATGAGTAGCTTCTCCTGCTGCAAGGCTAGGAGCTGAAATGCACATACAGATCCCTAACTATGGCTTTATTTTTAATTAGATGTGGAAGATAAGTTTTAATTCTGTGACAGGGTAAAAATACTTGATTCCAACAGCTTCTGGAAAAAGATCAATTCTCTCTTCTGTGAAAGCTCATAAAAATACTGAAAAACAGGCTTGAGTTAGCTGCTAATAATCATTAATATGTGAAATAGCAGAACACGGTAAAACATTATTGAGTTGTTTATTCGGTTTAAGCTGGTGGACAAAGGAAGGGCAACTGATGTCATCCACTTGGGTTTGTGCAAGGCCTTAGACATGGTCCCACACCACGTTCTTGTCTCTAAACTGGAGAGAGATGGATTTTGAAGGGTGGACAATTAGATGGATAAATAATTGGTCACAACCAGAGGGCTGTGGTCATCAGCTCTGTGACCAGATGGAGGCTAGTGATGAGTTCTTTCTCCTGACAGTCCTGTGCAGAAGGACTTGGAGGTCCTGGTGGATGAGAAGATTGATGTGAGCCAGCAGTGCACTGTTGTAGCTCTGAAGGCAATCAGTATCCTGGGCTGCATTCAAAGAGGAGCGGAAGCAGGTTGAGAGAGGTGATTGTCCCATTCCCCTCTACTTTGTTCACATGAGGCCTTATCTGGAGTACTGCATCCAGGTCTGGGGTCTCCAAGCAGTTGGGCTTCCTTAGCTCAGAGAACAGAAAGCTCTGGGGAGACCTCACTGTGGCCTTCCAGTATGGAAGATGAAGGCTGACTTAATCCGTAGGCAGACAGCGATAGGACAAGGGGGAATGGCTTTAAAATAAAGGGGAGAAGTTTTAGATGATATAGTAGGAGGACATTTTTTACAAAGAGGGTAGTGAAGCACTGACACAGGTTGCTCAGAGAAGCTGTGGCTGCCCCATTCCTGGAGGTATTCAAGGCCAGGAGGATGGGGCCCTGGGCAGCCTGATCTGGTGGTTGAAATTAGATGATCTTCAAGGTCCCTTCCAACCCAATTAATCAAGCACACTGATTTCCAGAGGAGAAAAAAGGGTCTGCTGTGTCCAAAACAGCATGTTATTTCTTATTTGTAATCTCACTTTTTTAGTCTTTACAGTAAACTCTTATGTAACGTTGCAATTGAATAATGTCAGGATATTTTGAATGAGCCTAATATTTGCAATCAAGAATGCTTATGAGTAGAATCTACAATATGAACTGTACCCTGGGGCTAATTTCAGTTATGACTAGGTTTAAATTGGAAATATTGTAAGAATGTTTAGAATGTTTATCACTCTGTATGCTGTGACTGGTATAACTGTCAGAGAATTAGCTTCTTCAAATGGTGTTTTTTCATGCATCTGTTAATTTGAAGACTCCATTTTAACTGGAATGATCAAATGTGTCACTATTTGTGACAAAGGGAGATATTATCATTACTGCTTCCTGCCATCATGCTTGAGGATGTCTGCTTCTTATATTTGCTTAGTAAAAATAGACTGGCTATAAAATATGGAATTTTAATTCTATAAAATAAACTACTTTTTCCAAGTACTTCTGTGTGATTTTTGCAAATTAAGAATTTATATTGTACTGTGCTTTCTTTTCTACAGATTAGCTGCAAAGTGTCAATGTTTATCTACCTGTACCTAATGGGTTGCAACTACTTCTGGATGCTCTGCGAAGGCATTTACCTGCATACTCTTATTGTAGTGGCTGTTTTTGCTGAGAAACAGCACTTGATGTGGTATTACCTTCTTGGCTGGGGTATGCAATTTCACACTGTATTTTCAGACCAGTCCTATCTTTAACTCCTTTTCAAGAGCAATTGAACAGCTGTCCCATTGCTTCTCTGGGGTGGTAGATTTGAACAATGACAACATGCCCTTCTTCTTTGTCTGTTATGTTTTAACAGGCCTAGAAATATTAATATAGGAAGTTGAATGTAGCTCTATCTTTGCTGAAAGAGAGATTGTTTCTGTTGTCAGGAAGTGACTCCTCCTTTGTACAGAGAAAATAGTCTCTTATTATAAAAAGACATTAAGAAGTAATTATTCATTGTTCCTCATCTGAAGATATTTATTCAGGAATGAATGTTTGTTTTCAGAGAAGTCTTGCCATGTCTAGGATGGAGGGTCAAAACTGAATGGCTAAGAACTTATTTTTCCAGCAGTTCCATTTGACCTGTATTGTTCGTTCTGTAAATACAGAGTAACTGAAGCTAACAATCTGAAGTAATATTCATGTTAGAACTAACAAGCCAAACTCGATGGTTTCAGATACTGTAGAACAGCATATACACAAAGTGTGAGCGAGGACTCGTTCCTCAGCTTATTGCATGGGCATTGCATTCAGCTACAGCATGACTTGGTGCCTGTGTCACTGGCTGTACCACAATGGACACAGCTGAGATGAGGCTGAGAGCTAATGTACTCAGTGGTTTCTAAAAAATAGGTATCACCAGGATGTGAAGCAGCTCAAATAACTATTCTTTTAAATTTTGTACATGCCAGGTTTCTAGCCTGTTTAATTTTATTTATTTCTTTATTTGTGCAAGGAATATTGTTTATGGATACCCAGAAAACACCAGGAGGAACACAGTTAACATTGTTAATCATGTTATTTATATACAGTTACAGACATATGTGTACTTATCTTACTTAACGTCGAGCGTTACTGCAGATTGTAGCGGATTTACAGAAAACCATCTGTGTTAATACTGATTGTTGGTTTCTAAATAATTATAAACTTTGATTTGCCTTTTCTTTCTATACAATGATATGGATTTTTGGATAGGAGAATGGGAATAAGGTTTCATACACTCCTCTAAAATAAATCTGGGAAAATAGTAACTGGATTGATACTTTTTTTGCACTGCATTTAAAAATAATTTGGATGAGGTGGAGGATCTCTGCAAAAGATGCGGGTTTAGTTAGCTATTTACTTATTAGCTAATAATAAGTATATATATTATATATATATAATATATATTATATAATAATAAAAATATTAAGAAAATGTTTCCTATTCACAGGTTTTCCACTGATCCCTGCCTGCATACATGCAGTTGCTAGAAGCTTGTATTATAATGACAAGTAAGTATTATCTCAAATTCCTTTGCAAAATGATTATTTTTAGTTTAAGGAGAAGAATAAGGAGTAGAACAGATAACAAAATACCAAATGTTTTTCTTTCCTTGCTTCTTTTCTCTAGCTGTTGGATCAGCTCTGATACTCACCTGCTCTACATCATCCATGGCCCTATTTGTGCTGCTCTATTGGTAGGCATTTTTCAAATAATTTTTCTTACTTGACTTTTTTAAATTGTTCTTGGTGGCTTATAAAGTAGTTTTAGGCTCTTTCCTAAGAAAGTCACTCATTTACAGGCTTCTCACATAACCCAGTAAGTGTCCTAAAAACATAAGATACCTATGTTTTGGCCTTTCTATGGAGCTATTACACAAATCTTTGCTTCTGGAGAAATAAATTTGAAGTAATTTAAGACTTCACTTTACTTAAATCAATGTTATATTTAAATTGTGCTAAGATTGAATTTAACCAAATAAATTCAGTCAGTAGTTAATTTCTAAATAGGAATAAGTTCTTATTGAAAGAAAATGCTGGCATAGACATACTTAACAGAAACTTGAAGCTCATCTGGCAAAGATATTAAATGTGTGTGTAATGACTTTCCTTATGACTTTCAGTTTGTGCAAGGAAATTAAGGATGATAACACTAAGTAACCTTTAGAAACATTTTGGTTTCTGATCTATGTGAACTTCCTCTGCTTTTAAATGGTTTTGGATATTCATGGGGCATTTCTGTGCATAGAGAAATCACTCTGAAGACTGTTCCATAAATCCTGTGGTTCTTGTATTCAGTTTCAGTCACAGTGAAGTTGACTGGTGAATGTATGTTTTATAGATCATTTTGACACCATGACACATCTGAGATCCTCTGCTTGGGAAGCCAGAGGTAGTCCCCATGAAATTGAGATCCATGGCCCTTGGCATGTTACTGATAATACCTTGCTCTGTTAGGTCATCTATACGTGTTGCCTTAAAGACAGGTTAACTAGTACTTTAATTTTTAAAGCTAAGACCAGATCTAAATCCTGTAAACTTCTCTACTCTCCAGTTTACACAGAAGATGAAATATTGTTTTCTCAGAAAGCAATATTATTTTTTGCTCACTTGAATGGCACCATATTTCATCTTTCATTGTAATGTGGGATCATTACTTCCTTTGTGTAGGTGTTGCTTCACAGATCTGTCACTTTAGAAAAGCTCTTTAAAGCTGAGATATAATTGCTTACATAAGAGCAGAAAAAAACAAAAACTCTGTAGTATGAGAATGATACCATTGTTTATTAATTGACCTCATTTTAGGATGAAAGATTACTTTCTCCTGCCCAGCAGTGGCCTCAACAAAATCATACTGAAACAGTGGTAAGAATCCTATGTACTTCAGATGGTTGTACAGGATCAGTCCAAAACAATCAAGTCTCCACTCAAGGCAACACTAAGAATGTCTTTTGGTTTTATTAGGAACATAATAATCTGCTGTGTGTGATTGATTTTGGCAGAATCTCTATCCATTGTCTTTGCAATTTACAAATAAGTATACATTTCATTTTCGTATATTTTTCATGTACTGCATTTTTCTCACCTCAGTGCAATCAGCAGATTTATTTGAAAACCAGGAAAGAATAACGGATTAGACACGAGTACACATCTTGCCTGTGAGATGTGTGATGTGACAATACCATAAAAGATTTTTAGGTAACAAAAAAATTAATATGTTGATTCAGAAAAGACAGGCCAGAGATAAAGACAGAAGATGAAATGCATGTGTTCAGACTTGGTGAACAGAACCCTCATTTGCTTCCCAGCTTGCTTGCCAGATGCAATTTTCACACTTTACTAAGCATGACCTGCTTTAGTAGAAGTTTAAGTAACAATATTAAACTGCAAATTAGATAACAAGGGAAAAGACACAGTTTCTATTTGCAGGAGGAAGATCTCAAAGGGCATGAAGAGAAATGTCAAGGGGGTGCTGGGAAAAATTGGCAAAAGCCAATGGGGATTAGGTCTTTAACTCTTGTACATCACTGAAAATCCTACAATTACATAATGTTAGCAACAAAAATGCTGGTCCCTGCTATTATGTAACTATGACCAGATCCCTGCCAAAGAATCTGCAGATGGGAGCAGACCTAAATTGCATTTCGATTGGAGTTGTCTTCAGTTGCTTATTTCATTGTATATGTTTGCCTAAGCAACCACAATTAAAGAAATAGAGTGGGAATGAAACAGTAGAGCGCAATGTTAGCTATTACAGCAAGTTTGCAGATGGCACCAAGCTGAGTCGTGCAGTTGACATGCTAGAGAGTAGCGATGTTAACCAGAGGACCTTGTCAGGCTTGAGAGGTGGGCCCCTGCCACCCTCATGAAATTCAGGAAGGCCAAGTGCAAGGTCCTGCACCTGAATCAGGGCAATCTCAAGCATAGATATAGGTTGAGCAATGAATGGCTAGGGAGCAGCCCTGAGGAGAAGGATTGTCGAGTGTCAGTTGATGAAAGATTCAACATGAGCCGGTATGTGCACTCGCAGCCTAGAAGGCCAACCGTATCCTGGATTGCATCAATAGAAGTCAATAGAAGTGTGACCAGCAGGTTGAGGGAGGTGATTCTGCTCCTCTATTCTGCTCTTGTGGAACCCCACCTGGAGTACTCTGTTCAGTTCTGGGGCCACCAACACAAGAAAGACTTAAAGCTGTTGGACTGAGTCCAGAGGAGGACCACAAAGATGATCAGAGGGCTGGAGCACCTCTCCTAAGAGGACAGGTTGAGGGACCTGGGGCTCTTCAGCCTGGAGAAGGCTCCAGAGGGATGCTGTGAGCAACCTGGCCTGTTGGAAGGTGTTTCTGCCTATGGCAGGGGGTTGAAACTAGGCAATCTTAAAGGTCCCTTGCAACCCAACCCATTCTATGATTGTATAATTACAGTAGACAAATACTGATAAAAGTGGAGGGAGATTGCAGAGTTGGATATGTCAGTATGCTAGTGTTTTAGTTAGCTTTGGCACCACTAAAATAATAGATTTTTATTTATTTATTTATTTAGCTATGCCATTATTTGTATAAATAATACTCAAGGAGTGGTTATTTTGTCCAGCAGTAAAACTATGTATGAGGGTCTTACCAGTGTCTTAGACTGACATCTAGTGATTTTGTACTAGAAGGAAGTTCAGGAGCCCCAGTTCCTGCCTTTGTCACTGACCTGTTTCATGAATTTAAGCTGGACTTGGTTCAAGAAGTTGAAAGCCTAGCATTCACGTGCTCAGCCTAGGGAATGTCTGTAAGTTGGGTATAAAACATGTCTTCGTGAGCACATACAGGTGCATGGCCCAACAAAGCCAGGCTCAGGTAGGCTTAGATCTGAAGTTGCATACCTGTATTAAAAGCAAGCAATGGCTACCATTAGCATCTAAGAATATTTGAGTTTCTGGATCCAATAATGATTTGTTTATAGCAACGAAGAATTAATTTAAACAGAATTTAAACCAGTACTGCTAAGCACAAACTGGACATGGAGAAAAGTAGTAATATCAGAGACCTGGGGAATTTTTAAATCGGGAACTGCAGGTCAGAGACTGCACATAACTGCTCTGAAGGCGGAACCTAAGTTCTATGGAGTTCATAGCATAGGCTCCAACACTTCATCTAGGATTCCCTTCCCTGCCTTTGTTTCTGTCTTTGTTCACTTGCCTGGATCGATGTTCGTGTCACTGTGCAGCTGTCAGTACTTTTCTGTGTGTTCATGCTGCAGCTGACACAACAGGACTCCTCTGGGGCTTTGCAAACCATCACAGTCAATCTGATGATAAAACACCTTAAAGTAGTTCCTACTTTTCCTTAAGTGCAAAAATCTACTCTCTACCTCACTCAAATCAAGACTTATTCATTTCAGTAAGAATTTGGTTTGTCCTTTGCTCCCTATACTTGTGACATTGGTTATATGTACTTTTATGAACTCTCATAATGCTCCTCTTAAGTGGATCCTATTTTTTGTCTCACTTTTCTGTCCTGATATTTACTTACAAGCACTGAATGTGTTTATTTTCATGGTTAGGTTTTTTTTTGTTTGTTTCGGTGGGTAAATAAAAAGTCAGAAGAATTCTGTGCATTTATAAATGAAAAAATTTTCTGAGCGGTATTTACTTCTATCTGCTGCTACTTTCATCCTCAATTTGCATTCTAAGGGCAGTATTATAGGGATTGGTTATGCTACCAAAGCACAAGAGGGGTGAAAGTTCTGAGAGAGGCTGATGCTCTAGTATTAATTTAAGTGAGATTAAATTTAGAAATGGAGTATGGATTTATTGTCTGATTGTGCAATGGGGAGTTGGATGAGAATTGTGGGCTGCATAAAATCTTAATGAATCCCTTGAGAGAGAACCGAAAGACCTTGGTTGCTTAAACAAAGCCAAGAGGTAGTTGGAATCTTCCAGAAGAAATTAATGCAGTTGTTTCCTATGTAAAACAATTTCCTGGTAAAATGATTTAAATAGCATGTAAGTAGAATATAAATAACATAACGTGTCTGTCAAGGGCCACGTTGCTGTAACAATACACAGCTGTTTATCATGAAAACCTTAACTGACATGAGAGGACTTCTGCCAGGGTTGTGGAGAACATGGTGACACACGTGGTCTGGATTGGCTTCCCTGTCTGTACTTGTACTACAGAGAGGCAGAGGCTTGCTAGACCAGAAACTCCTATTTATTGTAGAAGGGACATTTCTGTCTTTCTGATGATTTCTTTCTTCCCCCACTTCCCTTTTTTTCTCTATATAATTGTTGACAAGAAAGACAATTTATCTGAAGAGGAGATAAATGAACTAGACTCTACTTTCCGCCTTCCGTAGTGGGAATCTAGACAGCATTGTCTTGCCTCTTGTGTCCTTGGGCAAGGTGCTTGGATTGGCTGTGCTCTCTCCGGGGTGCTTTTAGCTCTAGTTTTATGTTGGCTTGAGTGTAATTTCTCTAGGGGGTTGCCATTGTTTCATGATGGATTAAATAAAATACAAGCCTTCCATTGCTGTTTCTCTAGTGATTTGCATTCTTAGACTGTTGCGAATGATGTATGTATATGCACATACATATGTGAACGTATTACTTTTCTGGTTCAATAATGAGTGCTAACATGCCGAATGAGATTTAGTACAGATAGCTGTGATTTAAGTTTGTTTGTTTTTTTGTGAAACTAAATGAGCAGATATGTACTATCATTCACAAAAAAAGCTCTTAGCAGCTATGGAAATAATTAGCTTCTGTCTTGCATAAGAACGATGTTGATACCATCTCAATGCATGCCCCATCTGCAGTCCTGCTGATTTTGAAAATCAACCACGAGCAACTGTGAGACTAAGGCAATAAGTTAAATCTACTGTTTGTCAACAGGAGTATACAATTCCCTGTAATAACATTTAACTTGTCAGATTTTTTTTACTTTTTCTTCCCTATAGATTTTTTCAAATTCGTATTTGAAAAAAAGGAAGAAAAAAAAAGGATAGTTTTTTGGAGAAGCATTTTAAAATACAAAGATGGGAGAATGTCATTCTTTACTGGACCAACCTAAAAGGCATAATATCTTAATAAATAGATAATGCCCAGATCAGTTTCTTCCCTCTGGTATAAAATGGGACTTTTTGAAATCATTTTGCCAAAATAAAATTGTAAGGATTTGATATAGTTCATTTACTTCTGTGGCACTCAGGACAACCTTTCAGATTATTACTCTAGGTCTTCAAAATAGAATGATGTTTTTCCCCCCTTTTTATGTTGAAATGTTAAGACCGTGTTACGGTTATGTTATTGTTTTTTAAACTGTAAAAATGAATTGAAGTCTTTAGACAGAAGGGTCAAGATAAATACAACTGTTTTTAATATAAAATCACAATAATAATGAAAATTTTTTATGTTTTCAAATTCGAGCTTCTGAGATGGATCTAACCGATCACTGAGGTCTAAATAGACAAGGAAGGATAGATTTTAAACCATGCAGAGGCAGGTTTTTACATTGCTGTAAGGATCTCAACTGCAGAGACCTGTGCTCAAGTTGTGTGTTACATTGCTAATGGATCACTGAATTTTTAGGAGCTAATTACAGATGCTGTGGTGATGTCCATGTGCTTTGGTTACCTTTTCCCAGAAACTCTCCAAAGAACGTCATTACAGCTCATACATGGCTGTTAAAATACACAACTGGAAGCAAGATAGCAAATGTCTTCAGCTTTGCACAGGATGTCAGAGCTTTGGGTATAGTGGCTTGCACCTGTGGTCTTCCATAAGGTGATACTTGTGCATCAGTCATGGCTAGAAGTTCATTTCTATTCATTCTTTTTTACAAAACAGCAACTGCCATTCTGTTCTTCAGAAGCTGCAGTTTAAATTTCTCATGAGCATCATCCAGATCTGTACTATTACTGTAATAACACAGAAAATGGCATATGGATGGTAAACACTGGAAAATGAGAGTAACCTGGATTCACACTTGCTTAAAAGGGTAGAAGTAGTAGTTCTGGAATTAGATGTCAGAGCCCAGTCAGCCTCATTCTCTTCAAGATGTTTTCAGAGAGTGTTAACTTTTGCTTATTGTATAACCAGAATGTTTTCTATGCAGTACGGGGCTTTTTGAGTAGTCTGGCTCTTAGTGTCCTCAAATAGTCTGCAAATTATTTTCAGAATAGCTTCAGTGTCCTTTTCTTTTCCAACAGGTGAATCTTTTCTTCCTGTTAAATATTGTCCGTGTACTCATAACCAAGCTGAAAGACACCCACAAGGCAGAATCCAACCTGTACATGAAAGCAGTACGAGCTACCCTCATTCTGGTTCCCCTGCTTGGCATCGAATTTGTGCTGTTTCCATGGCGACCAGAAGGTCGAATCACTGAGGAAGTCTATGAATATGTGATGCACATCCTTATGCATTACCAGGTAGGAATTAAATATTTTTTGCCCACTTGAGCTAGAACAGCTGTTGGCATATGAAGCAAATAAAGGACAAATTATCCTCTTATTTTAGTTTGTAAAGACTTTATGCAATACCTGTAAACAACTTCAGCTTTCTCAATATATACTGAATTTTCTTTTCTCTAAAGGAAAGAAGCATACTATTTTTTTTGTAGGGTATTCTTAGAAACTATATACAGATTTTAGATTTGTAGAATATTTTGTTTGCTATGTAAATAAGAATTGTATCAGGAACATCTAATTCTATTACAAACCTGAAAAAATCCATATACATGTGAAATAAAGAAGCTTATCTTAATTTTACAGGGTCTACTGGTAGCTACAATTTTCTGCTTCTTCAACGGAGAGGTAAAGTAATAGTTTTTATTGTATTATTTTGTATATACAGATTTTATATATTCTAGCAATTAAGAAGACTGCACACCTGAAAAATATAGCTACAAACTCAGAACTTAATACCTTGTTGTGCTTGGGTCAAAATTTCTTGAATAAGAAGTGTACTTTTGAAAAATCGTGATTAGTTAATTCCAACAACTAACTTCTTTATCCTTGTGCCAGAGAATTGCACTGTTTCACATTCATATGGAACTGATCCTTGATACAACTAATAAGTTATTTCTGTTAACTTGAATAGATTAAGGTCATGTCATATAGCTTTACTCTTGAGAGTAACTTATAGGGCCTTAGTGTTAAAGATAAACATAGTAGAAAGGCTAAATATATATGTACAAACACACACAAAATTTCTCACTGCAATTTTTGCAACTCTTGCTTGAAAAGAGAACCAAAACAAATGGATAAAAACATCCCACCAAAGAAGTAGGGCTTTTCCAACTCTTCTGACAGAGGAACAATTACAATGCTGTCCTTATTCTTACACATCTGTTTATTTTTTCTGCATTTAGTGCAGTTGCAGTATGGGGCTGTAAGCAGATGTGTGGGAGTAACCAGATGTTTTCATAGGACTGAATCTTTAGTTTCTTTTATCACATTGTGTTCTTACATAATGTTATTGGACCAGTAATATTTACTTACATGTTAAGTATGTGGCTAATATTTGATTCAAATAGCTCTTACTTACTTCTCTTACTCCTAAATCTGAAGCTGTCTGAATTGCAATTAATATTCCATGTGATTTCAAGATACTTTTTTTTTCCAAGAAAAGTATGAGTGCCACTGATTGTCGTTATTATTACTTTTTTTTAACTAAGGAGGCAGAAAAGATGAAGAAAGAGTGATTTCTTTTTGCAGTTTATAAGGCCTGGGTCAGCGGTTTTGATCTGGCTTTATGCCAAAGTGATCCAAATTCAAGTCTCTGCTTATATATTTGATTCAAAACAGAACATATCACTAAGCGTTATGGATCTGGTTTGGTTATTTTCCCATGTTCAGAATAAATATTTTATATATTCTTTCCCTTCTAAGAGGCATTTGAAAAATAATCAGACAATTTAATTTGTCTCAATGCAAAGTGTGGACAAAAAGATTTGAAATCTACAGAGTTTCTATGAAACAATATTGTCCAGTGCTCAGTTCTGCCTTTTATCTCTCTTCTTGTTGCTTTATAACCACCTGCACGAGTAAGGAAACTCATGGGGAGAATGATAATATAGTTAAGAACAAATGTTTGCTTAAAAAAAAAAAAATTGATTAAAAAATTTTGCTTCTGGCATGTGAGCCTGTAGGCATATGTGTGTTCTGTTGCCATGATCATATGTTGCTGTCATAACAATGCCTTAACTAATCCTGATACTGTAGCTTAGCTGTTGAGTACAAGACCTTCCCTATCAGCATCTGTCACAGCAACTCCTTGTTATGTTCTGTACCAAATGGCTTCAGTGTTAAAACTGTTCTGTAGCAAGTCTAAGGTTTGGAGATGAATCCTGAGACTGGGATCAACTCTTTGAATGAAAACAGAAAAAAGATATTCCAGTGAGATACTAGCAATTAAAAATTAACAAGTATTAGTTTATTTATCTAAATACTATTTCCCAAATGCTACTGTAGCTTTTTATGTTCCCTATCAACATTAAGAGCCAAATCCTGTTCAAGGAGTGGCTTGCAGGCCTTTTCAGACAATGGCCAAAAAAGGAATTAAAAAATCATCTACTAACAAAATGAAAAGGAACTAAGTAACATTTAAGAAAAAAGTGTTGGAATGCTTTGCTGACTGTAGCCACGAAACACCTCCAAACTCATTAGACAGCGTAGCTAGGGATGTCCTGTCAAATCCAGCGCCAACATCTGTTGCAACTGTCACTGCAGCTTCTACAGCAGATAAGGGCATACATGCAAACCCTTCAACAATATTCTCTGGCAGGAATTCCCTAAGGACACTCATGTTCTGCTTATGTCGTAGCATCCACAGAAAGTATGATGCTTCTTGACTACTTCATGATGCTTCCCAATTGGAGTTGGCATAGGGCTGGCTTTGGGGTGATGCAGGTTGCAGTAATGGGAGAAGCTTGTAGCAGCTTTCTCTGTAAAAAGAAAGTAGAAAGATTCCTACTGACCTATTAATAGATCATAATATGTACTTACGATATGATTATGTTACCCATGTGAAGTTTGTGGCTTTGGGATTCTTTTGTTTTATTTTTGGTTTTGGTAGTGGTATTTTTTCCCCTCATTCCAGTAGTCATTGGAAATGTGGTTAAGGCTACGGTCTCAGTTCTGCAGGATTATAAAAAAAAAACAACTTTCTTAATAGAAAAGGTTTGGGTTTTGTTTTTTTCTTTCTTTTTTTGGGGGGGGGTGGGAGGGAAGGACTACTGAGCCATTAGATTTTTGTTACACTGACATCAGAGTACTAGTATGTTAAAGAAGGTGCAAGTCATTGAAGCTCATCAGAAGGAGCCATTACTAATAAGGTGAGGAAGAATGAATACTTGATCTGGAATTGGTATCTGTATTAATGAGACATGCAGCTATGTTTGTGACATTGCTTACTTCGATAAAATACATTGGTTAATATTTTCTCACAATGTTGTCCATCCTGAGCTGAATCTACAGCCCTGTCCAACTGCTCAAAGTTGAGGAAAAGAGCAGTAAGTCTTCTGCTCTCACAAAATCTGTAGAGGTGTGCATGCCGCATGCTGTTAAACAGTATAAACAGTGGTGGAAATTAGCTGCCTCATTGATTTTTCCTGTCTTCTATGAATGATTGATTGGACAGAAGGTAGCAATAATAAATGAAAGGATGTAACGCCCTACAAGAATAGACACAGAGAAGGTCAGAGGTGAAATACTGACTCAGCAGTAACAGAGAGGCTTTTGGAAGAATGCCAGGTGTATGTGGCTTAGTTAGAAATGCACCAAGAGGATGTGATGGGCACCAGGGAGGGCATAGAGGAACTTGCGTTTGTTGATATGGGAATTATTGCTTATAGCAATTTGTCACTGGTGAGAAAGCAGCCTGAACAGAGAATTTTCACACCAGAAACAGGCAGCAGGCACTTGTCCTGCAGGAATTCCAAAAGCCCTCTTGAGATGCGGGGACTGATATCCTTTGGTTTACAAATATTGCTTACAACTGCAATAAGACTAATTACAGGAGCCACTAGGAGGACATATGGGAGCGGGCCTTCAGCATAATTTTCTTTTGCAACCTGACAATTCTGTTTTATTTCCCAACTCTGCCAATACGTTCTCTGAGTTTGCTTAAGCCATTTAGTTGCACTTGTTTTCCCATCCCATGCCTATTGTCTGTTCTTTCTAAAGTGAATGTTCTTCACGATAATGTTTTTTTTGTTGTTTCTTTCTCTAATAAGACACTAATCTTATTGAGGAACTTTGCTATTGAAAGGATAATAATTGGAACAAATGAAAACTTAGTGAAATGCAAAGATTTATATGATTAAGAAACAAATTCTAAGCTTCCTTCTCAGACAATCTGGAATTTTTGGAATGCTTCTTCTCTTATATTTTTGAGGGATGGAGTGGTGACAGTGGTGGACATAAGAAGGGCAGCTGCTATAATCTCTCTGGACTGATGCAAGGCCTTTGACACAGTCCTGCGCTGTGTCCTAATCTCTTAACTGGAGAGAGAGGGAGAGAAATTTGAAGGCTGGAATATTATTAGGTGGATAAAGAATTTGTTGCGTGGCCGCAGTCAGAGGGTTGTTGTCAGGTGGAGGCCGGGTCTGAGTGGTGTCCCTCAGTAGTGTCTCTCTGGACTGGTGCTCTTGTAGCCCAGAAGGCCAACAGTATTCTGGGCTGCATCAAAGGAGGAGTGGCAGCAGGGTGGCTCATTGTCCCTCTCTGCTCTCTCCTCGTGAGCCCCCATCTGGAGTGCTGTATCCAGGCCTGGGGCCTCCAGCACAGGAAAGATGTGGAGTGGGTCCAGAGGAGGACAATTTTCTGTTCAGACATTTTAAAGGGATTTAAATAGTTTTTTGAACATAGGAGAAGAGCATCTCTTTTGCCCTAAAATACTAATCTTTTATGTAACTGATTTGATATTTCATATTTTCTTTGTTAATAGTATTGACAGATAAGAAGCCAGTACTGCATGCAGGAAGTCTAAAGTGTACATCCTTTCTCACTTATTTATTTTTCATATTTAAAGACAAAATAAAGTTAGGAAAAAAAAAAGGCACTGTGTTATAAAAATGTAAAGAAAACACAGTTTTTACCCACTGCAATGTCAATATCTAAGTGGGGGAAGATTAGTTACTTTGTGTGTGTAATTTATAATGAGACCAGTGATTTAGGGTACACTGCTGGGTAAATTTAAGTGCCAGCTTCTGACTAGCGTTTCGTTTACAGCAGTTCTTCCCCAGTCTGTGCAGGAAAGATTCTCAGTGTTGCCAGCCATTGGGAGCAAAGTTTTGCTGAAGAGGAAACAAAATACTCATGATCTGTAGGCAATCATTTGAAAAGCTGGTACTTCAAAAAAGATATTTTGAATAAAACAACAGTAGCTACTGCCATTCTTAGCATTCCTTACTTAGCATCTTGACTCAAAACTGATCCCGTGTGAATTTAATTAATGTGACACTTCATCTATCACACATGCGCAGGTGTTTAAGCATAATGTAGGAGAGGAAGTCCATGATAAACATAACATCCTTTCTGTGGAGACATGTAAACAAGCTGGGGCCTTGAGCTATTTTATCGTCATTATTTTTAACTCTGGTAGAAATGTGGTGTTCAGGAAATTGTCTTTCTAGTCATTTGATGAAGTAGTAGTCAGGAATTAATAAAGGCTTTCTTGTATCAGAACCGTAGCAGAAATAATTTATGGTATCTGGACTGTATGAGAATTTGCAGTTGCTACAGTTGCATCCTTAATATAAGGGTAAACAGAATTTTTTTTTTAACTGTAAATCTTGTCTGTCCATATGTCACTTCAACCCACAGGGGAAAAACTAGAAAATGGTGTTGCTCCTACTCCTTCACAAGCTAGCAAATTTGGTGTGAAAAGCACAAATAATGTGTATTTACATTTTAATTCTTTCAGAATATCTCATGTGACCTCTCACATCTAGGTACCCAGGATTATTGAGCCTTACTACCTAATTTTCTGAGACGTTTATTATGGCATTCATTTGTCAAATAATTAAGTCTGATGTATCTTTCCACGTGTTTTTATGTGCATTTGTTTTTGTTTCCTGTCATAGGTCCAAGCTGTTCTGCGAAGACACTGGAATCAGTACAAAATCCAGTTTGAGCACAGCTTCAGCCACTCAGATGCTATGCGCACTGTTTCCTATACAGTATCAACAATCAGTGATGTTCCAGGCTACAGCTACAACCACGACTGCACCAGTGAACATTTAAATGGCAAAGGCTATCATGACATGGAGAGTGTGGTTTTAAAAACTGAAAAGTTATACGGTTGACCGAAAAGACTCTGCATATGCCGGTGTTCACCCTCAGAATTTATGAACTTGAAGTTTGATTTGATGACTTAATGGCCAGAAGATTCAATCTAACTTGGGAGTATCATTTTCTCCTGAATGATGCAAACTAAACCAACACATTTTCGTATGTATATATACATGTGTTTGTGTTTGTCTATTGATATAGTATGGACATTCATACATACATCAATCTACTTAGCTATATATATGTGTATTTACAGAAGTATAGAAACATTGCCTCTTCAGTTTCTACTATGTAGACCAAGTTGGCAATTTTTTGTACAAGGGGAATCAATGAATGAAGGATTTCGTATTTTCTTGGAAGTTTCTATGAAGACAGGGTTGTACTGAAGCCACTTCATTTGCCTATAGAAACTTAGCGTGTAAATACCATACTGTATTGTCTTAATCAAACCTAAAACTGAACAAAGGAAAATTGTTAAAATAGGTGCAATAGTTACAGTAGGTTGTCCAGATTAATTAAATGTCCAGTATTTGATTGGCAAAAAGCAACAAAAAAACACCAACAGATAGTCTAGGATAATAGATCCAAGATAGTAATGCTGAGCCAGTTTGATTTTGCAACTATTTTTAATGAAGCATCAGAGATGCTAGTACAAGTCAAAGATTTTATTCACTTGTGTATTGCAGCATAACAGTTTACAGCAAGCCTTGAACAATTTTATTTTAACTGTTTTCACATACACAGGAGTGTCTCCTCAAGCTAATGAATGCAGATGAGATCAATGATGAAGCCTTACTGAAAAGTAAGAGTACAGAAAGAATAGTAACCTGAATACCTATAAACCCATCTGAATATTAATTCAAGCTGATAGAACGTCGCTGTGTGCTTAAGCATTTTACTTGACTGGGAAAAATCATGTACAGATTTTGTTGTAGCCATGTTGTTTGTTTTTCTTTTAAGTATTTCCATGGCCAATATGCCTGATAAAGTTATTCCTTTGTTTTGGAAGGCAATGTTTTGATTACGTTTGTGACTTATTAGAGAAAAGTGGACTGGACTGAACACAGTGCAAATGATTTGCTATCTGTGAAGCCAGTGTGTGAGATAGATTAATCATGCAAATTAACATCAATAACATATTATTCCTTTTTGTTGGTGATGGTGGGTTTTTTTTGAAAATCCAATATAGGATTTGTCTTAGAAAACTTTAAGGTTTAAGAATTCTAGTATTATTTGTGACGTGCTTGATTCAGACCAGTTCTTTTAAAGGAAGTTGTTTCTTTTGGCTCTACTGGTTTATAAAGGTCTCACTGAAGAAATGAGAAGATTGTGGAGAAGGTATTGAAAAAATATGTCTAGCAAACTGTGTACACCTTTTGTGCTTAAAAGAAATAGTAGTTATATTAAGTGAAACAAAATGCTCAAGTATAAGAGATGAATTTGTATAAGTCTTACTAAAAATCTAAGAAATAGAAAAATGTGTTATAGGTATACTTTGCAGAAAAGTCTACTTCAAAAGTTGGGGGAGAAAAAAAGAGGAGTGGATACTGGAGCTTATCGATGATTATGCTCATGTGCATCAGGTAAGCAGGTCAAAAAAACTGAAAGACAGATTTTTCTAAACCACTTTAGTTCTAAATACTTAATTTTGAAAATGAAGTACTTGATTTTTACATCTGAACGTTTTTTTCAGTAGCTTTTCTGTAAGCTTCATTAGCATGGAATTAATTTGCTGTTTCAGTATTTATTTTCATGTAACTTTGTAAGGCCTCACATGCTTTGTATTTAGAAGGAAAATGTTAAGAGGATGCAGTAAATTCATGCCACTTGCACCTTTCAGTGTTGTTTTGTTTTTTTAACACTTTTGTCTAGAGTTTGAGTGTAGGGTTTTGTTAATGATGTAGTTTCATAACATAGAATCTCAGCTAAGATATTAAAATGGAGATTTCTGTTAATCTGCAAGGCTATCTGCTCAAGTGCTGGAAATAACATGAAAATCATGTGCTGTACTAGAGTAGTGTGAAATCTGGAAATCCTGTATCACAGCATCTGATGATGGTGTCTGTTCCAACATGATTAGACGTTGGTTACAACGCAACTTGCTCATTTTTTAAAAAGTAATTAATTAAGTAATTTAGGGTTACTTAAAAATCTTTGCAATGTGCTGAAAATACTAGTAGTGCAGGACATCCCTGCTCTGTTATACCAGCTTAGCACACACAAGGGAACAGATCATCAACTGGTATAAATATTTGAGTTCCAAGTTTGGAATTAGTGGGTACTATCTGAGAATCAAAGCCTATGCAGATGCTTGTCTATTGGAAAGTGCTTCACAGCATATGTACAGCATATTATACGACAATTATTTCAATGGTACCTGGTGGGTTGTTACAATTAAAACATGTAACAGCTGAGAATATGATATGATATTAGATTTTGATTTCAGTTTATTTCTCAGCTAGGCAGTTAAATTTAATAACCTGCAAATTTGTGTCTTCTGATACAAAGACTAAACGCTAATAGTTCACTGTCCTCTATTGAGAGATTATTTTAATGGTAATTTACAGGGGGAGAATTCTTTTCACAGAACCTATCCTGCTTCTAGGTGGTCAGTCACAGCGTGTTTCTAGGTGCACTTTTCAAAAGGAAACACATGGAGCTGGATATGCAAAAAAAGGGTTTGTGGCTGTACAAGGACAGGAACACTCCCTCATCCTCATGAGTTTCTGTTTTGCATTGGAAAATATAAATTCCTTATTTTGTCTTCCTACCTCACCTTTTTCAGTTCCTACATAGCTAAGAGCAGAGTCTGCTGCTTAATTTATTCCTTTTTTTTTTTTTGTCACTATAAATTAAAATCAAATCTTTACGCTGAGATTTCGTCCTGTGGATTATTTTCTACTTTATGGAATATTGTACTCATTGCCTGTATTGTCTGGAATGTAAGAAAACTTCTGGGGGGCTGTGAGGTTCTTTTCAACAGGCAGAGAGTTACTTATTATTGTTCTTTGCTCTTTTGTTAGTGAACATTTACTGTACCACTTTGAAGGGGGCTACAGAAATGCTTGTCTTACACTTAGTATAAGTAACTAGCATGTTAGTTATGTATTAAAGGGAATGTCTATTTTTAATGCTACTGTCATCAATTAATAAATGCCACAAATTGATTCTATGCTGCAGGGTTCCCTCAGTTTATTATGATATTTAAATGTTAACAGCTATTCTATGTATTTTTTTTTTCTTTGTGATGATCTCCTGGAGTGCTTGGCTGTAGAAATGCTGCAACACATACTCCTGTTAACATCATGAAACATTTGGGCTGGAAACCCGGTAACATTCAAGAATTGTACTGTGTAAATAAGATTAATAGAAGCTATGCCATTGTATTTATTGTTCCACTAAGGATGAAATAGAAAAAAAATGTGAAAAGTTATTTTTCAGTTGTGCCTTATTTTCATTTTCGCTTACTTCTTTCATGTATGTCATCATGCATTTTATTTGCAGAAAGAAATACTATGTTTGCATTCAATAAAATATTTCTATAATAGAACATTACATTTGTATAAATGTAGTAATAACTTTCACATATATTCAAATAGGCTTTCACTGGCACCTTTAACTATGTGTTAACGAAGTATTAACTCAAGGAGAAAGTCACTGCAATTTAGTATTTGTTTACTTGGGGTTTAAAATTCTCCTTGTAATGTATAGTAAGGCACTGCATTTCTAGAGTAAGCTCACTCTTATAGTTCTTTACTAAATAACTTCATATTTAGTGGGGGAAAAAAAAAAAAAAATCTATTTCATCATAAGCAGAGTAGAGACTAACATGAATGCATCTTTTCATTCAGTTGGCATTCAACTAAGCCCCAACCAAATAAGGTCTGAATCGCTTAGCTGTGCAGAAGTATTGTTCCATCAAGACCAGCAACAAGGCAAGTCATAGAAGGAATGAATGAATTTTTTGGTTGACTTGTTGGTTTTTTTGTGTTGGTTTTTTTTCCTTCGCATAGGGCTGATGGTGTCTGTACAGTACTATAAATAGTATGCATGTTTTCAATCCATAGGATTGTGTTTCTTGAGCATGCAATAATAGCTAACTTTTACACCATTGGTTACCAGTGTGTAATTGCTAAACTCAGCTGATGATCAAAGCACTGAAATGCAGATAAAAGGAATGCCAAAGTACACGAACATTTATGCTGCAACTTGAATTAAGTTACTACTCACCTTGTTACACCTCAGCATGGGCATTAGCAGCATGGGGGCAAAGCAGTTCTAGTCAGAAGCAAGTACAGTCGCACTGGGCCATTACAGATCTTCACCTGCACTGCTGCAGGTCATGAGTTTTATAAGTTAACTGGGTTAAGTACATTTCTAACTACAGTGAACATTACATTTAGCCATCTATTTCCAAGTGAAATCTACTGAAATCCTAGCGAACTTGATCAGAAACTGTGAAGGTGGGTGTTCCTTATGCATGACCTATTAGACTTGAGCTGTATAACATTATTTGGTTTACCTGGTCCGAAAGTAAAGTATAACTGCTTCAAGAATTTATTAACTTACTTAACCAAGTAGGATCCTACACTGGATGTTAAAAAAGCAAAAAATTTTACATAACACATGAACTGTCTCTCCATTGTTTTCCATTTTCAGATACTCTTAGATTTTACATTTGCTTGAACTGACGGTATGGCATATAGCTGAAGTGCCAGCACATCTCTCTTTCAGCAGACTTCTTTTTAAAGGAATACAGAAAATTTGCATCTAGACATGATAAAAGTTTTAGATGGGCAAACAAATATCTTGCTTCTTTGCTATTAGCTGGCTTATAGCTTTAGAAAGGAGCTCAGTATCACATTTAGCATAAATTCAGAGGTTTTGTCTACTAATAGACTCCTATTTATAGTTTCCTTGTTATACTAGATGATTAAAATCTAGAATGGCACAAAAAACAATTGGGGGGGACAGTAATTTACAGTTGATTAAATGCTTTACTGTAAGAGTTGCAATGTCCTCTTATCCATAACTTGTTTTCAAATGGAAAGTAATAACCTGACAGAAATGGAGTTATAAATATTAGTTTTAGTTCTTCTGAGCTATGATACAGTATTTGTAGCTTATTCTAGTTACAACTTTCTACTTCAATCCATTTGATAGAATTCTAGTGTGCATGAGTAGCTGTACAATCTAGGATATACTGTAATTGCAAGTAACTGCTAGTAAAAATACTGTTTTAGCGGTGTTTTTTGTTTTGTTTGTTGTAGGTTTGTTTTGTTTTGTTTTTTACCTAAAGCTACTAATATTCTTTTGTACCTATTTATTGCAGCTAAGAGTGCTAAGGGCTTACTGTTCCCTACCAGTGCCTAGTACCACTGGCTGCTTTTCTGTGATACTGAAACTACAGAGTTCAAACCTTACATTTAGCAATTTCATACACTTTCATGTAAGTATACAGAAAAAGATGGAAAAACTAGTCCTCCAAATCCAAACCTTACCACCTATACCTTGTCCTTCTGTCCAGCAGCAGGAAAAGGTACAAGATATCCACAACACGTTCATAAAAACGTGCTAATTTGTACCTTAAAGAAAAACCTAAGATAGCAAACTAATCTCTGTAGATGAGTACAGAGGGATTCCAAAACTAATTCTATTACATTTATCTTGAACGAGAAAATGCCCTTACAGCACAGGTATCCATATAATACTTAGAAGTGCCAGCAACTGTATTGGGTGGAGCATGAACAAAGTTCATATCACTTCTAAACTATCATTACAACGTGATAGCAATTCCACCCTCTGCAAGATATGAAGGCTGCTTTAGAATATTTAAAAATAGTTCTGAGCCAACATAGTTATCTGGTTCTAAAAAATATGCAAAAAAAATATAGATTTCTCTTAGTCCAACTGTTCTGAGGGCCACCGTGAATCATTCACGGTGTTAACACTAAGAATCTAACATACTGAAAATAAAGAAACAAAATTGAAAGACCAATTAAAATACTTGTGAACATTAGTTATCTTTGTTGTGGGTAAATGTACACTGTACTCTATTCATCAAGAGTTACGAGTAAGCTTTTGGGAAAGGACAAGCTGGAACTAAATCCAAAGCTCTGCATCACAGCATGGTTTGTTGAGAGCAATGCTCGGTTTTCCAACATTCTATTCTGAAACAAGAATGAGCAAGAGGAGAAGGGGAAACCAGGTGCCTGTGCCAACACACATTCCAGTCTGCATGCATTTGACTGCTAAAGGCCACTGTAAAAACTACACAGCACCACACTAGCTGATTGATATATCGCAGCAGAAGCAAAGACTATAGAGAGATACGCTCTTCTAAAACAGCAAAATAATTTTGTATGTATTGCAACTTAGATCTCTCAAAAAGTAATGCTTCCTTATTTATTTCCATGGAAAATACACCAGCTACAAAGAGCACAGTAACACAATTTGATAGAGCAAATTCTCAGTTAAAACAGTTTTTCAACATAGTACCTATGCCAGTGGAAATGCATAGCTACTGCTGAACAAGTCTGCATGCCGCACTCATACAAATGTTGCGGCTGCAGTGACATGCCAGCCACCACCTCCTTCTCTTCACATCCACTGTTTGATCTCCATAAACATTCACCAAGTGTCAGTGAATGTCAGTGGCTGCCATTTTTTCCAAATGGAGGAATTCAGTGAATACCTTTGCTTCATCAGCACTTCTATGCCAGATGCCATTTTGTCAAACTGCTTTTCTGCATTTGCCTCTGATGTCATAGGTCAACATCAAAATATAGGAAGCATTATATAATCAAGGTTTAAAAGACCACTAAGATCATCTAGTCCAACTTGTCAATCCATCACCATTGAACCATTAAACCATGTGTGACACCTACCTTTTTCTTGAGCAACTCCAGGGACATTAACTCCTCCACCTCCGTGGACAGCCTGTTCCAATGCCTCACACCTTTTTCTGAGAGGAAATTTTTCCCAGTATCAAACCAGAACCTCCAGTCATGCAACTTACATAAAGTCAGTACGTTACTTTTGTAGCAGCCCTCATACAGCAATAAAACACAAAATTTATTTAATAAATGAGCAAACAAATCTAGACATAAAAAAAAAAAACCTAAGGAAATTGTTATCTTTTTCAAATCTCACAAAATTGCTTGAGCAGGTGCTATCTATATATATTCTGCTCCTATACATAATACCCAACTAAAAAAGCAAAATGTTTTTTTCTTCTGCCACTTCGTACTTATAAACTGCTACAATTCCTCTTCCACAAGACAGGCTGTGCGCTGTGATGAACCTGTCTGGAATTACAGAGCTGACAGCCTCATGATTATAATTGGAATGATTTCCATCATTTCACAGCTGTATATTTTTAAATAACATTTATAACTGACTAAATGAACAATTCAGATTCATCTGCATTAAGTTCATACTGCATTTGTGACAAATAACATGTATTATTGCTCTTCGAATTAAACTTTTTTTTTTAAATAAACCCAGACTAAGGATTTGCACATTGAACAGTAAAGATATTTGTAAGTATAATTTCTAATGACTATTTCCATTTTTTCCACTCATTTTAGAAAGTCACAACTTTCTAAGGGGAAAAAATAGTTTCTGATTAGTGCTATCTCACATAAACACACACAATTTAACAGAACACAGAAAAATCCAACTATCTAATGCATGTTCTATGAAAAAGTGCTTGAACATTGATAATTATTGGTTTGAGATTACAAAGCTTTTCTATAACTTAAGGTTTCACAATCAGTGTCAAAGAGAAAAACGCCACAGAGAAAACAGAGCTGAACACAAGTACTATGGTCCCTGATTAAAGCAAGCTTTCATGGCATGTACATGCAGGACAGCTGTGTTTTCCAGCTCTGCTGGAGCTAGAGTTGACTAATAATGCAAGCCACCTGCTGACTAGTGTAATGTTATAGTCTTTCTTTCTCTCTGTTCTAAAAAAGCATGCTGTTTTATGTAGAGAAATGGTTTGAAGTTTGTAGTAGGCTTATGGCCAGCACTCAAGACAAGGTTTAGAAATGAAACCTGATGTTCTACAGCAAACATATACATAAAGAGATATCAACTGCACAAAACATAAACGTAGAAAATGAGCTTGAATATAAATATATTCTTGCTTGGCTCCTTACCTTGATACTTGCAAATGAAACGTGACAAATGTGTGACTGTAGCAGAGAAATTTCTTCCAAAGGTCCTGCATGCATTGGATATGGATTGCTGTCAAACTGGTGGTTCCTCTGACACAGTGCAGTTAAGTTGATGGTTGTCAGGTCTATTCCTTCCAAAGGGTGGTCACAGTGCTGTGTTGTGGATTCCACTGTAAATGCAAAAGTTTTGTATGTAAATATATGAGAAAAAATCTTGAAGTAATAGTGAAAAACAGTCTTTCAATCTTACAAAACATACAGTACACAATACATACAGAAGTACCTGTCAAAAACTTTTTTGTTCTTAATCATTGTGCTGACATCATCATATGATGACAAAACCATTATTAGTTATATTGCACTTACAGTAAAGGAAAGGGTAGAACTATTTTGCACTTGTTTTTATAGTTGTGCTGTTGAAGTTCTTTTGCCTTTCATACAACATATTTATATGCTTGGACTTGGTCTCAAAATATAGCTGGCCTTATTTTGTTTTTTTGTTGTTGTTGTTGTTTTTTCTATAGATATCAGTAAAGATCTAAGAACACAAATGCTCAATCATATATTATTTGGTTAAATATGAATACGAGCCAAATACCTGCATTTAACAGAGAGCTCAAAAGCACATTTGACTGTGTCCCATCTATTCCATTCCATATGGCCATCTATTCCACAGAACACCACCTCAATTATTTCTACCATTCACAAGGAACTTGCATCTTCCAATTCCTAATGGAAGCCAGGAGCTGTCAAATATGGGCTCCTTTCATGACATTTTGGGCAGACAATGCCAGCAAGGATTTCCTTGTTAAAGAGCCTCTTTCAGTATTCTGTTAGCAGATTGCCATTGTGGATACTTTAGGATCTGAGACAACAACAAAATTCAAAACTCACAGAAAGCAATCACAGATGGCTTGAAAAATCATAGCAAAGTTGTATGAATATTCTGGGGATTGTTCAAAATACAGTGATAGTGCAACTTCTCTTACGCACAAAGCTCTAAAAAATAATCTCAGTTTAGCATAATTGTAACACGCATTTTCCAGATGCTGCAATAAACTGACTACAATAATTAAAGTTAGAATACCAATTCCTTCTATAGCTATTTTTTAAAACCAAATTTCTGTGGTACAAATAATTCACATTCAGATAATTTCAAGGTTTGGATGCTGACTCAAGTCCTTTCCAGTTCAACACTGTATCTGCCGCAAGGAATAGAAAATATTTCTTTTTCTTTTTTGACAGTGGCTTTTTTTTCTTTTTTCTTTTTTTTTTTTTTTTTTTTCCCCCTTTCTAACTATTCACTTTTTCTTTCCTTCTTATTTTTCCCTACAGGGACTTGTTTGTAAGTCTGGAGTGCTCTTTGCCTGTTCTAATTGTAATTAAAAAGGTGATTAGAAAGATTTGTAATTAAAATATACAAAAACCTTAATGAAGAAATACAAATCAGGATGCCTCCGTAAAAATTAAAAAAATATTGAACGCAACAATGGAAACATGTTTGTATCAGAATTTTAGAAATGTGTTGTCATTACAGGTAGTATACACTGCATGGTATTTCACTGTATCATAGAAAAAATAGTTTTGAAAAGTTGTTTAAAACTTATTGGGAAATAAAACATTTTGTCACAAAACAAACAAACATTTTTTGGAAGTTCTAAGAAAATATTTTACAATCTACACCTTACTCTGTTTCCCACCATCTTTCGCTAACCTCAGTATTTCACTGGTATTCATTGACATGACCTCTTATTCTCCCCCTCTCCTTATTATTCACCAAACACCAATACCAAGTGGGTACCACCAGCTGTCTCCAACACCTTGGAACTTGGAGCTACTATTGCTCCCACCCAGCTTCTTTTTCCCAACCAGCTGTGCAGAGAGAGCAATAAGCATGTCATGAGTACTCAAAGACTTTCTGTTTAGGTTGAGGTACACTTGGCATAAGAATGAAGCTATCTAAGCCTCAGAGAGTCTCTAACTCATACCCATTTGCTCAGTGAGGTTGTTTTGGCACTGGAGAGTAACTGGCATTCTGGCATTATGCCTTTCTGCAAGGAAGAATTCACTGAGCTTTTTTTTTTTTTTTTTTCTTCTGTCTGGTGTCTCATCTTTGCGCTGAGGAATCTCTGGCCTTCTCCTCAATCGTTCCCAGTTTATGCCTTTTTAATGCTGCTGAATCAACTAAAGGGAGACAGAATCTCCATCAGCTTCTATATGCACAGGCATTATATTTCTAATCCAGAAGCATGAAATAAATAAAGCATAAAATTACTAACCATTCTGGATGATATGAACACTCTGAAGGCCAGTGGAAATGCTTCAAGTACACAAAGACAATATCAGCATGCCAAGCCTTTGGAGCAATGTTACATTCCATACCTGTATGGTATGGGGAAAAAAAAAAAAAAATTAAAACCAAACACATGTACGGCATGTAAGTCATTTAAAAACTACGATACCAGCTCTTCTATCAAAGAAAAGTAAATTAAATTTAAAAAAAATGCAGGCATAATCCATTTTCTTTCCAAGTCTACACATGCTATTGAGAGGAAAATTTAGAAGAGAGGTTGAAGTTTCTTCCATTAGTAGAATGGATATTGCACTCTTGTATGTTTAAGAAAAAGGATAAGGTAATTTTACACACACTTTTCCCTTTCCTTTCCTAGAATTTCACCTGTACCTTCTTCTTTTCAGAACAGAATATCATCTGGCCTTAACTACTGCAGCTCTATGTGATGAAATCCTTAGATATCTAATCCAGTTCCCTACAATGGCTGCAAAGATAAATAAATTACTCCTTTTTCTGCTACAGCAATGTTTACTGGCGAAGTTATTTACTGGTTATTTACTGTAGAGTTTCTAGACTGGACAAGAAGGTTCCCATGGACTTAAGTTAATTTTAAGTAGGATGTTTAGACTAACAACCATCTAAAAGTAAGCACAACCATTTCATAGGCTGAAAATATTGTTTTTTAAATTGTGTGCAGCTGAAAGCAATAATACATGAATGCAATGAAAATGACTAGTTAAGCAATGTTTCATTTTCAACTGTAAGTACACTCCACAGAAATAGCATGGTTTTGGATTAAATAAAAGTGGACATGCATCAAATTAAAAAATAAAAATAAAATCAAATTTACCCTGCTTGATTTCACCTAACCCTTGTATTAGTATGCCAGCACATCTGCAGATAAAGAGGCTTGAAGACCATTTTGGCTCTTAACAACCACAATGAGACCACAGAATCAACAGATATGTAGGACTGATTTTGTCCAGCTAACTGCAATCCCTCACTGTAACTGTATATTTTCTGTACTGTCTTTGTTTGTAGTTCTACACATTTCTTTCAGAGCATCTACTAGAAGTAGCACTGAACATTTACAGTTTTCATTTACGTGAAAGATAAATAGATCAGATTTTAAAGTGCGTAACTTGTTACAGAGTTAAGGAGGTCTGACAATAGGGGTGTGCGTTTCTAAAATAGAGGGCATACCAGCTGCCTGTACATACTTATGACAATGTATTTAGAGGGATTCACCCAGGGAATCATAGTTTTCTTGAAGTTGCAAATAATAGATAATTACCAGAGACATCAGTTACCACAAAGGGAGATAATATGCTCTAAAGAATATTAAAATGTATCATGAAAAATCAAATTAACACTGCTTTCAGAAAACTCAAGCAAACACCCAAATTTTTACATTTTTCAGGCGTTTTGTATTATGTTTCCAGGCCCACACAGAACTGAGACTGCACTGATGTTTTAAAATTACAGTATGTACATTTAGTTTCAGGGTGCATCTAAAAAAGAACACATCAATATCTGGCAACAGTGCCTACCACTGTTGCTAATGTTGGAGATTTTTTCACTGCTGCCTCATTGCAATCACTTTTAAGATAGTGAATCTCCTTTTCCAGACACAGAGTGCCTTTGAACCTCCCAGAAAATGTCCTGCAAGCTGGTAATTAAAAGTGCTAATTCACATTTCATTATGTAAGTGATATTTAAATTTAAAGATGATCCAGGCAGATATTACTGTATCATCATCTTGATATTTTAACTGTCAAACAACGTAGCTCATGTAATATACTAAACATATATAAAATACTATTCAGTACCTTATTTTGAATGCTGAAGATGCCAGACTTTTTCTGATTTGCAGCATCGCCTAAGCAACGGTTTCAAAATTGAGAGCGAAAGACCTCCAGTAACAAATGGATGTTGTGTGCAGTACGCTGCCATGTCTGTGATGAAAGAAAGCATAGTTCAGCAAAAAAAGATCTGGCTTCTCACCATTTGCTCTGAACTTGTCATTTTCTCTTTGCAAGCTTTCTTCATCATCTGTAACTACTTAGCATGGCCATGTGACTGGGAATTATAATATTATGCTCCCTCCAACTATGTGTCATTAAAATTACTCAACTTTGCTTTTCGATTCAAAGTCAGTTCATTTGCAGAGTATTTTAACTGTCTCTGAAGTGCAGCCCCAAGAATATGTGAGTCTTAAACATAATGAAGGCTACAACAAAACTGCACCTGTTCTTCCAGAGTGCCAGAAAGCCACAGCAACACCTGAACAACTGAGGTACTTCAGTCAAGATCCATTTTTACCTGTCAGTTCAATATGGGGCTTCTTAACGGTAAATAGATTCAGGTTTCCTCTTCAGTCCACACTGTCTTGTGCTGGATTATTCTCATATTCTGTCCTGTAAGCCATGCAGAGACATTTGCAAGGAAAGAGCTCTTTGACATTTCAGTCTGTCCTGTGAATTTGAACAAAACCAAATATACTCTGATCAGTTTCCTTGCCTCATTTGAGTCAATCATGGCTCTTCTTATGAGCCAACCTGTTCTTTTCACCATCCTTTAAAAAAAAAAAAAAAAAAAAAAAGGAAAAGAGCTTTTAATACAAAAAGCTATTGCAGTTAATCACGAGTTACTCCAGACTAACTGTTCCAAAATGCCCCTT